TTTATATATTTCTCCTAATTGCAAATGACTTTTAGGATGCCATCTCGTGACATCACCAATTGTTAAAGAAGGATATGTTTTTAAAACTCCCATCGAGGAAATTAAACCCTGATTATAGACTTTAGTTTTAAACTGGTAAATGATGTCCATTTAGTTCTTAATCTGTGTGCATAACCTATTTTTATTATCAATTTTTAAGTAACTTCACTCGTAGGAAAATGGAAAAGAGATACTTTTCGGACCACTCTCCATATGAATTAGTGAGCGATTCACATATATCTGTTCCGATTAGCTTTCCTGGTCATGAACTCTTCATAATTCATTAATCTTGACCTTATCATGACTCTAATTTGTAATGATTTATAGAGACATATATCTGCTTTGTTTCCATTTTATTGTCTGAAATACTGGTGACTGAATATTCTACTGATTACATCTTTTAACATCCATGATTTCATTCTTACCAAGTGGTAGATATTTAGCAATAAGATACATAATTTTAAAAAAACATGACCTAATTTTGTCTCTAGTAGATGCATTATGGCCTCATAAATTGTTTCACTATTCCCACATCCCTAAATTTCTCCACAAATGCATGGCCTTATTTCAAATGTTTTTTTTTTCAATACTTTAAATACAGCACAACCTCAGAAAAAAATATTTTATCATATTTTTATGATATTTATATGGATATTTTATAATATTTCAGATTTTTTTTTCAATACTTAAATACAGCGCATCCTCTGAGAAAATATTAATTTTATCATTTAATTATAGGACTGTTTCTGAGGATTATGAATCATGCTTTATTTTTTGGATTGCAGAGTGTGCTCATATTTCAATTCTTTACAGAAGATACTTCAATACATCTGTTTTCTGCCAAACTTAAGAACATTTTAATTTCACAAAACCTGTTTTCCAATACCTCGGCTTTTAGAGGAAACTTTGTTGTGGGATGTGAAAACACCATGTCTATTCTTTGGATTGGTGCTTGAAATGCGACATTGAGTAATAGTCAATTAATGGTGTATTTAGGGTCATTTTATGAATAACAGGATATGTCTGTTTAAGATCCATATTTCAGGCAGTGCAATGATGAAGTGATTTCTATTTATACTAATACGTATTCTTTCATCAATAAGCATCTATTTAAATGACTTAGTACTAATTTATTGACAGTTTTATTACTGAAATCTCTCTTTTTTCACTTTTATTAATTCACCTGTGTTTTTTTTTTTTTTTTTGTTATCTTTTCTTTTCATTTTCTAAAAAAGAAATAATACCAAAAACACTGAAAAAATGCTATAAAAGTCAAATAATTCCACCACAAATTCAAAGAAAAAAACAGTACACGCTCTAGTGTAATTTATGCTTCACAATTCTACTTTAAAGTTTAACATGCTCTTAATCAGGGGTGCGACAAAATTTTTTATCGATGATCAAAATATGAATAAATATTTGAAAAAAAATTAGTGAAATTTGATGGCATATTTTAAGTCTTCTTCGCAAGAACCAGTGGGCCAAAAATTGAAACTAATGTGAAATCTTCATTACATAATGTAAATTCAAGTTTGTTCAAATCATGACCCCTAGGGGTAGGGTGGAACAACAGTGGAGGATCAAAGTTTTACATCGGTATATATAAGAAAAAAATATTTAAAAATCTTCTTCCCGAGGACAGAAAAGCCATGACTAGTCATATTGATTGGAAAGAATCCTTATGTAGTATAGATTCAAGTTTGTTCAAATCATGATCCCTGGGAGTAGGGTGGGGTCACAATAGATGATCACATTTTTACATAGGAATATATTGGGAAAATCATCTTCTTAAGAATAGTGAAGAATAGTTGATTCAAGTTTGTTCAAATCATGACCCTCGGGGTTAGGGTGTGGTCACAATGGGGGATCAAATTTTACATAGGAATAATAGGAAAAATCTTTTTAAAGCCATGATAAGTCATACTGATATGGAAGCAGCCTTAAGTATCGAGAATCAAGTTTGTTTAAATCATAATCCAAAGGGTAAGGATGAGGCCACAACGGGGGATAAAAGTTTTACATATGAATACATTGGGGTAAAACATAAAAAAATCTTTTTGTCAAGAACAGCAAAACCATGATAAGCCATACATGTAATGATATTAGCATCCTCAAGTAGTGATTGTTCAAATTATGACACCTGGGGATAGGCCTGGTGCCAAAATGGGGACTGAATTATTACATAGGAATATGTAAAAAAAAAAAAAAATTTAAAAATCTTTTGATGAATACCAGCAAAACAATGAGCCATATAGATATGGAATGAAAATGGAGATAATGAACAGTTTTCGAGCTCAAATGTCCATTCAAACAATACAAATCAAGAGCAGAGCAAACACGGACCTCCAAAACATTTGCCATGGAGGCAAATCTCTTTTAACACTATATATTGGAATGCTTGCCATGGAGGAGTGAGCATCCCCTGCCGACAGGTCACACCCGCCGTGTCGTTCCTTTTCATAATGGGGAAAAACGGAAAAATCCGTCGACAATTCAGTGTGTAAATAATGGCCTAACTATAAGTATGTAAACGGCAGTAAGCATTTGTATTTGTTGACAAGGAAATTATTTCGACCATAGAACTTGCAAAATGATGATTAAACGAGACTGTTGATATTATTGTTTCATCAACTTGTTTTTCAATAGCTTGCCTCGTTTTAGGAACTGTTCGAACGTACACTGAGCATGCTCTTGTATATCGAATCAACTGGGAGACATAAACCCTATATGCAGTGATAAGTGTATATTGCTACATAAGTAAGAGAAGTTGACGATTGAAAACTTGAAGTCACTCTCCGGAAGCGTAGATGCAAAATTTCTTAAATTATCATCCTTCGGGTAGGGTGAGACTACAATGAAGGAAAAAAGTTTTACATTGGAATAAATAGGAAAAAGTCTTTAAAAATCTTCTTCTCAAGAACAGCAAAGCCATGATTAGACATGTGATATGGAAGCATCCTCAGTTAGTGTAGATGCAAGATTTTTCAAATCTTTATCACCGGGGGTAGGATGAGGCCACGGTGAAGATCAAATTTTTACATAGAAGTATGTAGAAAAAAATCTTTAAAAATCTTCTCAAGAACAGCAAAGCCATTATTAGTCATTTTGATATGGAAGCATCCTCAGGTAGTGTAGATTCAATTGTTAAAATTATGACACCCCCACCTTCCGTGTATTCATGATCCCAACACCCCTCGTAGGCTCGGGCCACAATGGCTGATCAAAGTTTTTTTACAGGAATATATAGGATTTTTTTTTTTGCAAAAATTTCTACTCAAGAACAACAAAGCCATGATTAGTCATATTTATGTGGAAAAATCCTCGGGTATTTTAGATTCAAATTTGGTCAATTCATGAGCCCTGGGGGAGGGAAGGGGATGCGAGAGTCACAATTATATGTGATCATAGGAAAATATAAGGTAAAAATTTGCTGATGGAGAACAAAAGGTATAATCAGGTGAACAATGTGACCGATTGGCCTCCTGTGTATTGTTGAAATAACAAATTACAGACATTCAATTTTACTGTCAATTCATAATTTTCATAATTAAACTTGTTTTCGATATATATATATATATATATATATATATATATATATATATATATATATATATATATTATATATATATATATATATATATATATATATATATATATATATATATATATATATATATATATATATATCGAAAACATATATATATATATATATATATATATATATATATATATATATATATATATATATATACATAAGCAAATATTAATATTTTGAATTCAAAAAATATTAAAAGTTTAAGAGAGCTGAGGTTTTTCTTTTAATTATAATAGGAGGATAATCAGAATATCAACAAATTCATAGAAATGAAAAAAAAATATTACAAAATCGTTTTCTACATCTATATTGATACAAGGTAACAGACTTTAATCTATGACGGGCCATAAGTGTTTCCAAACTAATTAATCAATTAGCTGAATTTTTTTAAAGAAAAATTACAGCTTGTACGATGAAAAGTAAATTAGACGGACTTAACTCAGCAGCTTTCTCCTACCTTATATAATCATCACATATGTAAACTGGAAATTGTGTATCAGTTTTGACCTGGTACGATTGTCCACATTACTTGAAAAATTTATCTCCTCCCCAAAGTATGAGTTTCTTAATTATCTACCTAAAAATGTTTATCTTTCCAAATCCGCCATTTCGTGTCCACATTACTTGAAAAATTTATCTCCTCCCCAAAGTATGAGTTTCTTAATTATCTACCTAAAAATGTTTATCTTTCCAAATCCGCCATTTCGTGTAATCCTACTTTTTCGGTCCAGATTCGGTAGTCGCTTATGTCAATTAACTCAATGGGAGGTTGTTCAAAAATTAACTGAAACTGACATTATATGTGTGTAATGAAAGGTTATGGTAGAAAGGGATGAGCTTCACCACGAGAATAATATTGATAAAGACACTGGAAATACCCGCTTCCGTGTGTTATGTAATTTTCGAAGAATACGAGATTTTTTTCCCACTAAAAACTTACTGCACATAATGCCATCTGTTGGTTTTTATCGCGTAAGCAATTTATTTCAATTAAATTCTTCCTTCTCTGTGACAGCTTTCGTGTAGGAAATGTAAACATGTCTCAAGAATGATAGGGGTTTGAAAAAAATGTGCACATGAAGTCACTCACACACCGGTTACATCTGAGATATATATAAAAAGCAAATTATTTCCAGTACCATATTCCGAGAAAATGGATTTAAGATACTTCATCTTTCTGATTCTGTGGAGTTGTGCGAAGGCGAAAAGACCTAGGGGTAGGTTGAAGTAATTTGATGTCACAAATATATTTCCCCACAACAATTAATTGTAATTTTAAAGAACTATTTACTTTTGTCAATAATTAAAAATATCTTTATTGAATTATTGAATATTGACACGAATCTTTCCTGATTGAACATTGCTTATGTTAACAGAGGTGAGTCTCGATATAAACAAATTAACTGCCTACATTGGGGAGACCGGACTACAAATAAGATGTCATGCTGATGGAAAGAGCGTGGTAAGACCAACATGGATGTCTATAGAATTTGCTGGATTTCAAAGTCAGCGGCCCATGGTCTATCTGTTTAGGAAGGACGGTGAAGATGTCCTTGAGTGGGGTGAGGAGTTCAATGTCACACGGCTACAGAGTCACATCACGGCCACAGGTCATCTGGAGGGATCCAAATCCTTCCTTCAGCTGGACTTCAGTCACGTGATGTGTGAGGATGGAGGGCGGTACACGTGTATTTACGCAGGCCTTGACGACCAGGGAAAGCTAAGAAAATTTTCAATGGCAGGGGATTTCGTTGCAAAAGGTTCGTCTAACGTTTTCGCAACACAAACAACAACAGGTTCCTTAATTGATATTTGAGACTACCTGTATCAGCAGCTGGTTTATTTACTACAAGTGTTTATAACAGGTAGAGTTAGCGAAAAGTTAAGGTTTGTCCCGGTATTTACACAAGTTAAAGTGATATGCAGGTATTTCATCCTATTGAAAAACGATAATTTAACACCTGTTGCCCCATAGCTATCACAATGCTCAGATTTTTCTGTGAATAATTAATAAAGTTTCTGAAATTCAATACTATAGTATCAATTTATCTATCAGATTCCTTTGCTCTTGAAACACGTTGGAACATATTGACGGTCTCAGATATTACATTTCAGCGTGCGCGTCATGCGCTCAAATTTGTGCTTTCAACCATAACAATTTAAACAAAATATGGAAGGTTCATACCAGCTTGAGAGAGTATACAAAGCATATCAAAGCTTGTTGTTAAAAAATACATGTCTTCGCTCAGTCCTATATCATGAAATCAGTACATCACTTGGTAACCCTGAAATGAAAGAGAGGTCAGAAAGGTTATGGTGTGTTTGATTCCGGTAATGGACATTTTATGTTTTTAATTCCTTTGTAGCTATTGATGGTGGCCCTCCGAAGGTTACCTTAAATGGTAAACTTGTGAAGTCTTTCGACTCGATAAAAGTATCCCCTGGTGACAAGCTTCACCTTGTTTGTGAGGGCGATGTTGGCAAACCACGTATTCCTATATTGTGGCTTTTAAATGAATTACCTAAGCCACAGAGAGTATTGGGCAAGAAAGATGGAGTCAAACAAGGTTGTCAATGTTATAGATTTTTCAACTCAATCAAAATTCAAGAATTATAATTTCTATTTTCATTTGAATTATTCTCTCTTTTAAAATCTATATTTGTTAATGTTCAGGAGAAAAAAGTTAAACACATTTTATAGAAGTGTTTGAACTCTTCTATACATAGAAAGCTTCTATATATTTTATATTCCATTAATTTGACGTGTGATTTTCTGTTGTATTTTTTTTTTCTGTTTTTGCTTTCATTTCTTATTTATTTCTCTGTTTAAGGTCTTCAAATCATCCCTGATGACAACCTCTGTTCATTCAGGTCTATTGTTCACTTGTACTATGAGATGGGAAATAGTATGGCCATACTATCGTGTAAAATAGCCTTCCGGAAAGTCAACATCTTTCTTCATCCCTAATCCGTAAAAAATCCCTAATTTTCTGTAGACTCCACTGAACTGTGAATAAAATACATATATACATTTTAACATTATGTTAATTTTATTCTTAATCTCGGATATTAAGTTCCATGATCCCTTTTTCCTGTTTTGGGCTATGAATGTTATATGCTACATGTAGCATCAACATGGACGAGACACTGTTCAAGTTACTGAGGTTTTTTTGTTTATGTAATATGAAGTGTGTGTAGATGCGTGTGTCTGTTTAACTTTCAGATAAAATAGAATTAATTTTTTTTCTATACTATAACATATTTTAAACCTTAAGTACATTGTTATCCCTGTTACTAAATATAGAATGAGATGTCTGATTCTTTCCATGGAGTGTTTGACTAAGAATGCCGATACAGTAGTACACTAAAGACAAGGTAAAGATGCAAGATGTTCTTTGTCTCTTTTTGAATCCTAATATGTGATGTTCTGCTGATAGAAATGAATACTGGAATTTTACACCATAGAATGCATAATAAATAAAGATACCCAAGCTTGCGTGCCGATCGTATTATCCAAAAAACGAACGGTATTGCACTAACTACTATTTGATTATCTGCTAATTAATTTGAATTCTTCTATCCTACAATTGTACTTGCTGATTTAATTGAATAACTTGTTAATTCATAGATTTTAGTTAATTGCAAACTTTCACTTAGGTATACACATATTTATTTACAAACTGCCTACATTTTCATTCAAACTTCCTTATACATTTGTGCTTATGTTTTACGTTCCATATTTCCCTTTATAAATAACCATTGCATTTACATAAATTATATTTCATTGAAAACTTAGTAAATACATGTATATATAAACACTGGAATGCACAAATTCTGAATTTATATTTTAGATCCTGTGGACAAAGGAATCGATCAATAATTTGTTGTAAGGTTTATGTTTGGCTTTCTAGTCGTAGGAATTACATTACAGTGAATTGATGTGTACAATTTACCATTGCTGATCCCATTTTAATGAAAGGAGATAGGACCCGAACTGAATCTTATTAATTCCAACACAAAGTTACAATTGTTTAAAGAGATTTTCATTAAAAAATATATCAATCGGTGAAAAGTGGGCCTCGATGTTCAAATTTTAATGTGCATGACGTGATGATTTATGGCCTTTTCTTCTTAATTTCCATAACCTTGATTTAAATTAACTTCCTTTCCTGTGAAGATTGGTTTAAAAAATCATCCGTTGTCGTAAATGTTCAAACATTTAAACAATTAATAAAATAATTTCTTTATTTGTTTATACAGGGATTAACGATTGCAACCATTGCAGAAAAAATATAAGACGAAATTGGCCAAATAACAAATGGATGACTTCAGTTTTTCCAACTTATTGTATCAACTTTCAATCTTTATATTATAATATAATCCCATTATCACCTGTGTTTATCTTTTCATGTCGTATACCAATGAAACTCTAACTAGAAATATGTCCATAGGACATGAACGCCCTGCCGAGTGTATATTAGTAATACAACATGAAAAATTGTATTTAGTTTATGATTCGTTTAATGAGAATATCTTGAATAGTTTCTTTAAAGGTGCTTGGACACAGATTTGAAGTTAATATTTTCTCAAATTTTCTGTATAATTTCATGACTTGTATGTTGCTATAGCATTTCATACTAAAATATAATAAAAATCTTATTTCATCTCGAAGTTATTAAAGCTTCGAATTTCTGGACGCGTTGGATTGACACATCCTTGCGCTTTCAAATATTTTGATTTTATTCTTAATACTTAAGAAATGTGACAATTTTGTTGTGTATTAATGAAAAATATTAAAACTTATAACCCAGAAAATTCAGAGTAGAAATGTTCGAAAGCAAAACCAACTCACAGTATTGTAAGTCCGTGCTCAGTTGTGTGTGCAGAGTTTAACAATTGAACACACCTGGTGATCGTAAGCATTAACAATAACAGAGCTCGTGCTCTGTTTACAAAAACAGTTTACATTTCACGGGTGTGTTCAATTTGTTAAACTCTGTACACATCACAGAGCACGGACTGACAATACTGGTGAGTTGGTTTTGCTTCCGAACATTTCCACTCTGAATTTTCTGGATTATAGATGTAATATTTTTCATTGATGCATAACAAAATCGCTTCTTTTCTCAAATATTAAGGATAAAATTAAAATTTGTGTAAGTGCAAAGATGTGTTAATCAAACGCATCCCGGAATTCGTAGTTCCAATAATTTCCAGATAAAATAAGTTTTTAATTATATTTTTGTGTGAAATGCTATTGCAATATTTAAGTCGTGATATTATACAGAAAATTTTAGAAAATATTAAGTTCAAATCTGTGTCTAAGCACCTTTAAAACTGAAGTTGAAATCTAAAAAAAAAATGGATATAGATGATATATTCACACCAAATCATGTATAAAATGCATAAGCTTACATAAAAATATCTTGAATGGTTTCTTTAAAACTAAGCAAAATGCAAATTAAAGAAAGGTGAGGTCAAGGTCACAAGAAAGTGCAAGGTCAAAAGTTTTTGATGCAGTTGAATAGCTATCATTAATACGTATCAGAATATTAAGTTTGATAAAAATATCTTGAATGGTTTATTTAAAACTGAGCTGAACACTAATATAAGAAAAGTGAGGTCAAGGATAAAGAAAAAGTCAAGGTCAAAAATGTTGATGCAGTTGATAGCTCTCATCAGTATGTATCAGCATATAAAGTTTGATAAAAAATATCTTGAATGGTTTATTTAAAACTGAGCTAAACGCTAATTAAGAAAAGTGAGGTCAATGTCAAAGGAAAGGTCAAGGTCAAAAAATGTTGATGCAGTTGAAAAGCTCACATCAGTATGTATCAGCATATGAAGTTTGATTACACTATCTTGAATGGTTTCTTAAAAACTGAGCTAAACACTAATTAAAGAAAAGTGAGGTCAAGGTCAAAGGAAAGGTCAAGGTAAAAAAAAAAGTTGATGCAGTTGAATAGCTCTCATCAATATCTATCAGCAAATGAAGTTTGCTAAAAATATCTTGAATAGTTTCTTTGAAACTGAGCTTTGAACTGAGCTGTTTTACATCATACAATATCCAATCCTTGTAGTTTACATAAAACATCAAATAAGTTGATAATATAAATAAATTAACAATCTCGTTTAAAGTCAACATTTTTGCAAATTCTATGATCGATACAATGACCTTGTTTGCAGATACAATGAATGTTGACTGACGTCTTTCAAACAAATTATTAAGCCATTTTTTTCACACTGAATTGTCCACGGTTTTTTCTGTTTACCCAGTCATAACAAAGAGCACTCTGCGGGTGTGCCCTGTGGAAAGGGGATGCTAACTCCTCCATGGAACCTGACCAAACCAACTTCCGTTTTCAGAGGTCCGTGTTGGCTCTGCTCATTATTTGTATTGTTTAAATGGACTTTTGAGAATGGTACCTGTTCGTTATCTTCACATTTCACAATATCCAGGCCTTTCTTATTACACAATATTTATTCTAGCCTTTATCTTACATCCTACAACATCTAATTAAGCCCCCTAAGTTTACATGAAACAATAACTAATCCTTAAGTTTACATCGTAGTTTTCATAATACAATATCCAAATCCTTCGTAGAACACAGTGATTGTTTGGAAAACTGTTAGAAATACTTTTTAAATTTATTAGTTATATTATCTGAAATATTTACCTTTCATCATACAGAATATCTTATTTGTAAAAGAAATTCTAATTCATTCCAAACCTTGATCCAGCAGCTCATTTCAACTGAATTCTATTTATAAATGAAGAACCAAAAAAAAAAATTATAAGATTTCAGGGCAGGCTCAAGTATTTTTCCGAGTGTTGATTTTTTTTCTAGTTTAAAAATAAAATTTTTTGATGCTATAAACTGTGATAAGTGATTGTATTTGCTGAATGTTCATTGTTTCGACCATAGAACTTGCGACAACGTTGACTTTAAACGAGATTGATGTTCTTGTTTCATCAACTTGTTTGTAAATAGCTTGCCTCGTTCTAGAAATTGTTCGTACGTAGAGCATGCTCTTGCGTATCGAATCAACCGGGAAACACTATATGCAGGTGATAAGGGTATATTTCTACATAAGTAAGGGAAGTTAACGATAGAAAAGTTGAAGTCATCACGATGATCATAAAGTTTTGTTGTTAGATATCATTAACGTCTTTTTCTAGTAGAATATCCAAATATGAAACAGATGTGTCAGACTGTTGTATCATTCATTTGAAGTTTACTGGGATATATTAAGTCGACATATGAATGGAAGTAACTATTGTTAATTGGTAATACGTCGTCGATATATTTAAGGTAGTACAAAACATCCATGAAATATGTTTTAACTAACTTCTTATAAGTACACTAGAAAAAAGAACAACATCACTATGTCAATAATCAGAGGCCTTTGTAAGGAAATTAATATTCTGTGACACGTTTTTTTGTCATATTTTACAAAAAATTAGAGAATCCTAATTTATTATGGAGAATGGTTGTATAAAGTGTTGAAAAGTCGTACTTAATGTAATTAATTAGGGTAAAATTATGTGATTTCAAATTTTCTAAAAGTTCCTTGGACTTTTTAAGTATCCACATCTGATTTACACCACTCCTCGAATATATTGTTTTACCGTACTCCTAAAGTTTCTCCTTCATTGTTGTAAATATTTTTTAGTGAGGAAAAAAAAGAAGTCTACTAATGTGGCCCTCAATATGACATTTAGATATATCAATGACGTTTTATCTATTAATACGATTCCTTATTTTTTCATACGTTGATATTATAAATCCCATTGAACTCAAAAGACACCACAATGCCTCATTCATATGCTTCATATATCAATGTTTTACTGGAGAAAGACATTAATGGCAAACTGTTCATTTATACTTTGTGATAAACCTGACGACGTCAACTTTTCTATCGTCAACTTCCCTTATTTATGTAACAATATACCATTTTCACCTGCATATGGGGTTTATGTCTCCCTGTTGATTCGATACACAACATCATGCTCTGCATATAATCAATTTCTTAACCGAGGTTTCTGACAAATAAGTTGATGATCAAAAACTTCGTTCAAAGTCAACATTTCGCAATTTTATGGCAGACAGAATAATCTTGTTTGCAAATACATTCTGTCCTTAGGTCGAATATTGATTAACGTTTTAATACAAATTGTTAGGCAATATTTCCATACTGAACTGTCTCGGGATTTATCCGTTTACCCAGTCAAAAAATGAATTCATGGCAAGTTTGACCCGTCGACAGGGGGCTGCTTATTCCTCTATGGCACCTTATCCCACCTGACAATTTCAGGGGTCTGCGATTGCTATGTTCTCAATTTGTACTGTTTATTAGGACTTATGAAAATGATAAGTGTTCGTTATGTTCATTTTTTATGCACTAAGTAAACAAATGAATTGGAAATAAGTTATTGCAACTCATTATACCTTTTCCTCTAGATTTGTTTATTTATTCATTTCTTTATTTATTTACAGTATCTACTTCACATTTTGATATTTTTGCTTCTTCTAGCCTTAATCGTATATATTTACAGATTGATACAAGACATCGTAAATATACATAAGAGTCTTTTGCCATAAAAAGTATGGTATCTCTTCAGGTTTTTCTGAGAATAATTTGTTAGTAGACAAAATATTACTTAACTACCGTCATATTTGTTTTATTAGCAGTAAATATATAAGAAAGCACATATTGTGTTATATTGATAAGTGCCTATGTTGTCAGCATTTAAACTTCTTTAGTAGGAATTAATCGGTTGCAATTCCGTGTCTTTTCCATAAGAACTAGCATTTCTCGCACTTGGGCTCTAGTTCCAAACCCTCATTTTTTTCCCATCATCAATCACAAAATATGGGCCCACTTTGTGTAATCTTTCGACAAGGTTTAACCCATTATATTTCAGAGTTTGTGTCGATAAGGATAGATGTTCCGTGGACTATGTTTTGGATCCTTGCTTGCTTGACCATAAGGTCAGTACTGGGAAGCTGGACAAGTCAAGGTAGGAAAGTCCACTGACATTAGGTTATCTTTCTGTTCAATTTTAGGTCAAAATAGATAGTCCTGTTTCATCATGCCCTCTTTTGCATTTATCTTTTTATGAACAGTCTATTTACTTTAGAGTTTTTGTTTAATGTTAGAATTCCAGTAACTTTTGAGGAACTGTCTTGGTACAAAAACTTCTGACTCCCTTGGGAAGGTTACCAGTTTTCTCATTATATATAGAAAGTATTTGCAAGTTTTGATAAGAATATCAGTAACTTTGCGAAAATTTGTATAATTGGGTCATACAACACGTTCACCTTAAATATTGGTCAGGGTAACGTGTGACATGTCCAATACTGAAGACTCTATTTGTTTAATGTTAAAGTCAAGACTTAAATGATGTATGACTAAATATTGTATAAGTACGCTATAAGAGACGGTACGATCACTGCTGTCCAAATATGCTTTCTGACCAAATCAAGACATGTGGGTGTTTTTGGTATTTCTGATAAACTAGACAAGGGGAAAAATGAGGTTTAATGTTGAATCATTTCTGTTTACAGAAAATCTATCATTTTCAAAATCAAAAAAGTCTTTGTTCGTATTTATACGTCATCACAGGATAATATCATCTTCAAGGTAAGGGGACAATTGATACGAAGGGGAGAGGGAGAAAAAGTAATCAGCAATGTGAATATTTGATTATATTTTTGTATTAGGTTGAAGAGGTGTGGCAACTCACCACCACCCCCTCCCCTGAGTTCCAATTAAGGCTTTGATACAGATTTAATGAAGTGATCAATATATTTTTCATCCTTGTGAAATAAGCAATGTGCACTTAGAATGTACATGTAGTACCGAAATTAAAAAAAATAAGATGACCTTGTATATAGACCCTGTCTGAAATGTTCAGGTAATTCACAGATAACGTATATATATATATATATATATATATATATATATATATATATATATATATATATATATATATATATATATATATATATATACGGTTTTTCTTAGTGTGTGAAGAAGGGAAACTAATAAACAAGACCGGCCGAGTAATTCGGCAAAAGTGACATTGTGCAACTTGTCATTAGAAAAGACATATGAACCCTCTAGAAACAAAGAGTTTTTTTTCAAATTATATATTAATTTTTATTCATTTACATGTACAACCTCTATGTATTTTAATGTTAAATCATGCCAAAATAGTTAAAATATTTCACTTTTCATGATGAATAAAGGATTTTTAATATGGTAATAAGTGTATTTCTTCTCCAAAATTTGAACGGTGACGTTTATTCTTTTGACGTCGGAAATTGCTCCGGGTGATAGGAAACGAAAACACTAAACGTGATCGTTTACACGGAAATAAGTCTAGACCATTATATAATGCATGCAATTTGATCCTGCCCGTAGACCATAAACTATGAACAAACTTAAAATTTAGATTTTAAAGATCACATTTTTTAACTAACAAACGTTTAAAAAGTTGCATGGGTGTATATTTTAAATTTAAACTCATGATTAAAATTCCGTTTTATTTCCAAGATTATTTCAGTTTTTTACTACTTTGAAATTCTGACTTAACTATTTTCTCAATTTATGGTCCTGTGGCCATGTTTCGCAATTTCATTATCTTGAACGTGAAAAAAATATTGGGCGAGTTTTCGTGGTCAGGAGGTCAGTTAATGTAAACGTACAAGTAAGAAAAGGACAGTGTCCAAAATACTACATAGATAAAGATGCTTATGTAGATAACTCGTACAAAACAGCAACACAGTATACAGGTTAGAAAAGGACAGTGTCCAAAATACTACATAGATAAAGATGCTTATGTAGATAACTAGTACAAAACAGCAACACGGTATACAGGTAAGAAAAGGACAGTGTCCAAAATACTACATAGATAAAGATGCTTATGTAGATAATTAGTACAAAACAGCAACACAGTATACAGGTAAGAAAAGGACAGTGTCCAAAATACTACATAGATAAAGATGCTTATGTAGATAACTAGTACAAAACAGCAAGACAGTATACATGCAGGTAATAAAGGACAGTGTCCAAAATAATTCATAGATAAAGATGCTTATGAAGACAAGCATTCTGAGAGTATTGCATAAGCAATACATGTCCCCTACCGGTATCCCCTTTTCTTTTTAGGATGTCATTTTATAAGACACTGTATATGATAACTGCGCCCCTCCCCCCCCCCCAATGTGGACATTTCAGTTTAATTGTTAATGAATGAAATGTTCGGATGAAATATGTCTTACAAAGACGTTTTTGACTAAAAACACATAAGGTTTGAATAACATGATTGACAATTGCTTACGTTATTCTTTTCCCTAACCTGGCATTAAATCTCTGCCTTTAACTAATAGCGAGCGCAGCGAGGGGCGCGAAGGACCGCTCGCAATGCGAGCTCTAACGACAACGCCTGGGCGAAGAGAAAATTCGGACTTCGCACATTGATCCAAGTAATTTTTCCCGCAGTTACCTCGAGACCCACAATGCAACGCTTGTTGTTCTCGCTGATAACTTCGTTCTCGTGGTAACAACAACTAAAAATTTACAAAAAATAAACTCACCTTAATTTAATGGATATTGAATACATATAGTAGATCAAACGTTTTTCGTTAAAATTTTGCACCTTTCAAACTTCGTTTATGGTGAAATGCAGCTTACATGTATACAACGTCATGTGACGTCACAGTCTAGACGTTCCAAATGTCTCGTGCCGTTTTAAGTATGTGAAGAGGCGGATCTTAAAACTAAAACAACTGCGCTCGCCCTAAGGGTCGCACCGTCAACATATTAAATAAATAGGGATTAAAAAAACAATTCAAATCGGGAAAAATATTCAGTATTTATTGCATCTGATATTATTACGCCAAGTATAATATGTTGACGGTGCGACCGTTGGAGCGAGCGCACTGTTCTCTTAATTTGAAGATCCGCCTCTTCAAACCGCACGTGACGTCACATGACGTCGTATGTTAGCTGCATGCTGCATTTCCATAAACGAAGTTTGAAAAGTGCAAAAATTTTAACAAAAAACGTTTAATCTACTATCTGTTTGCAATATCCATTAAATTAAGGTGAGTTTATTTTTTGTGAACTTTTAGTTGTTGTTACCGTGCGAACGAAGTTAGCAGCGAGAACAACAAGCGATGCATTGTGGGTCCAGAATTACTGTGGAAAAAAATTCTATTGAACGAATGTGCAGTAGTCCGAATTTTCTCTTCGCCCAGGCGTTGTCGTTAGAGCTCGCAGTGACGAGCGGCGCTTCGCGCCCCTCGCTGCGCTAGCTTTTAAGTATTCGCTGGTAGGAATTGCTGAAAACAATGCACAATATTACTTTACCGTCTTCTGTCACAATCGACAACCTCGCTTTTAGAACATTTTAGTGCAGCACGAACCCGATTGTAAACCCGATTATAAAAAAAGAGGAATGCTTAAAACTGATTTGCTCTAGCACCTGTTGGTCAAACATGACAGAATTCAAACTTGATCTATAGTTTGTCACTATAAAGCTACCTAGCAAGTTTGAAATCAATAATTTTAAACCTGACAACCTCGTGTTGTAACATTAATATAGTGCAGCACGAACCCGATCTTGAACTATTATAAAAAAAGGAATGTTTAAAACTGAATTACTCTGGAACCTTTTGGTTAAACGTGATAAAATTCAAACTTGATCTGTAGTTTATCACTATAGAGGTACACAGCAAGTTTAAAATCAATTCTCAAAAGCATAAAGAAAAAAAGTGCGGAAAACCAAGTGGGACAGACTGACAGACAGACAGAGGGACAGCTAGACAGACAGACAGACAGACAGACGGACGGACAGACTCAGAGAAAACCTATAGTCCCCTCCGGTTTCACCGGTAGGGGACTAACAAACATTCTGAGAGTATTGCATTAGCAATACTATTCCCTACCGGCAAGTGTAATCTGGTTCCCGTTAAAATTTGAAAATGCCATAATTCCGTCAAAAATCAATGAAGAGGAACGAAATGCAAACTTGATCTATAACTCATCAAGGTAAAGTCACATGCCAAATATCAGCTCAATATCTGCAAGCGTTTAGAAAAAAATTGCGGAAAACCCTGAAAAATTGAAAAGGTCGTAATTCCGTCAAAAATCTTTGAAGCGGAACGAAATGCAAACTAGACCAGTAAATCATCAAGATACACTCACATACCAAAAATCAGCTCAATATCTGCAAGCACTTAGAAAAAAAAGTGCGGAAAACCAAGTGGGACAGACTGACAGATAGACAGAGGGACAGACAGACAGATGGACAGCTAGACAGACAGACAGACGGACGGACAGACTAAGAGGAAACCTATAGTCCCCTCCGGTTTCACCGGTAGGGGACTAATAAAAGACAGTGTCCAAAATACTACATAGATAAAGATGCTTATGTAGATAACTAGTACAAAACAGCAACACAGTATACAGGTAAGAAAAGGACAGTGTCCAAAATACTACATAGATAAAGATGCTTATGTAGAGAACTAGTACAAAACAGCAACACAGTATACAGGTAAGAAAAGGACAGTGTCCAAAATACTACATAGATAAGATGCTTATGTAGATAACTAGTACAAAACAGCAACACAGTATACAGGTAAGAAAAGTACAGTGTCCAAAATACTACATAGATAAAGATGCTTATGTAGATAATTAGTACAAAACAGCAACACAGTATACAGGTAAGAAAAGGACAGTGTCCAAAATACTACATAGATAAAGATGCTTATGTAGATAACTAGTACAAAACAGCAACACAGTATACAGGTAAGAAAAGTACAGTGTCCAAAATACTACATAGATAAAGATGCTTATGTAGATAATTAGTACAAAACAGCAACACAGTATACAGGTAAGAAAAGGACAGTGTCCAAAATACTACATAGATAAAGATGCTTATGTAGATAACTAGTACAAAACATTAATATAGTATCCGAATTCTGCAATTTTACATTTCATTGATAGAATTTTAAAAAAAAATTAACTGAACACGTTCTTGATGAGAATAAATATAGGGAATTTTTATTTATTCATTTTTTATGAATTTAGAACAGATGGTCATTAGGCCTTAAAGAATGCTTTCTGATTACGACATTTATAAAAAAGAATTTACATTTCAAATATTTTAAAAAGCACTTTAAGTAAGTACATGCATGTACAGAGACTTACTTTAAGTAACCTTTAAATAAGATGTAAAATTAAATTTGACTTTTAAAAGGCTAATATATGGTCCATAATAATCTGTAATTTTGACAATGTGATGTAAGTAAAGGAGTATGTTCAGGATCGTTAAAAAATCTATTTTCAAGAAAACCATCATTTATTTCGACAGGTATGTCCAAAGACATACATCACTCGAACATTTTCGTAAACATTAATTTTTCAAAGATTTCTTGAATAATAATTATAGAAAACCTTGAATATTTTCATGAGTTTCCGTTTCGATGAATAGGTAAATCACTCATTGCTGTCCAGGGGATTACGAAGTCGCCAAAGTAAACTTTGCTTATGCCTTCGGAGTTAAAAAAGTATCTTAAAGGTGATAAGAATTTTGACTTAAGTCTATGAGAATGAAAAAGTGAAGATAACGAATAGTTATCAAACTCATAAATCCAGTAAAGAAACGAATCGTAAACAGAGCAAAAAGAAGGGCCTATGGAGACACTGAGGTGAGATCAGGTGCCTAGGAGGAGTAAGCATTCCATCACGTCCATCGCGAGCCCTCTGTTTTGATAAGGTGAATGGAGTTTATTTTAGTCAAATGGGTATAAAAACTGTAGTTTAACAACTGTTGGGAAACAAGTCAAAATACGACCCAACCATAGGTTGCTTGCAAACAATGTCATTATAACGACCATAAAATTTGCAATACGCTTGCTTTAAACGAGATAGTTGAAAACCTGTAAGATCAACTTATTCCTCGGTAGCCTACCTCGGTTTAAAAACTGATCGTACTCAGAACGTGGTCTTGCGTATCGCATTAGTTGGGAGACATATAATAACAACATATGCTAAGATTATAACTGTTTAATTATCAGGCTAGGCCCTATGTCTTTAAATGGGTTATTTTCGGAATCACTATAACTTAAGCAACGAAGGGAAAATACATTTGTCTGTCAATTTTTTTTTCTCCATGGAAATTCATTGTACATATATATAGAAACTTACCGACCATATCGCATTAAAAAAAAAACGTTCTCTTTTAGATATTTTCATCAACGTGAATAAACCATTCGCCTATATTGGAGATAATGATGTAACAATACGATGTGAAGCCCAAGGCACAAAAATTGTAAAAGCTGAATGGATAACGTTACTGTTAGAAGGTCACTCATATGAAAGGCCCATGGTCAATATGGTCAAAGCACCGACTGGTCACGTGTTTGAGTGGGGAGAAGCGTTCAATGTGACTGACCTTCAGCAGAGGATGTCCGTTAATGGAAGCCTGGAAGGCACCGTTTTTCTACAGCTGGATATTCACGAGGCTAAGTTTGAAGACGGTGGGAGATACACGTGTAATTATGGAGGATTGGATAAAAATGATAGGTTCCTGGAATTCCACGAATCTGAAGATTTCTTTGTACAGTGTAGGTACACAAAGATTACATTAAGTTTGGTTAAAAAAAGAATTCTAAGAATTGTGTGCCATGGAAACACTGTAATCTGATTTTATTTTATTTCAGATCATATCATTCAAAGTAATTACACCGGTGTTCTTAATCCAAATAAAGGTGATTGCATATCTTTCTTTTTATAACTCTATATGTAATTTACAATTATGCATAATATGTCTCTCCCAGCATATTTGTAAACAAAACAACTGAAAAAATAACAAAATTCATAAAAAAAACCCCATATATAGACACTAATTTAAGTCGGCGCCCTCATACATAGCATACCTCATACATACCATAAACCTGTATTACAATGTTGTAGATATTCTCATTACCATTAACAAGCTGTCAGCTTATATTGGCGAGTCTGGAGTTCGTTTAAGGTGTGAATCCCCAGGAAACGTAATCATAGACCCAAAATGGATATCAATAATGGTCGAGGGCGTAAAATACCAAAGTCCTCTAGCAAACATGTTCAGACCTATAAATAGCACAAGAGGTTTGTTCGAATGGAGCGACGAATTCAACATCACTGATCTACAGAATCGAGTTATGTATTCCGGAAGTCTAACAGCAGCAAATCCATATATGGAGCTTGAGTTCAAGGAAATTAAATGTGAGGATAGCGGCCGATACACCTGTATACTAAATGGATTGGACAGCACGGGAAATTTGACTCAGTTTTCTAGTTCTGCCGATTTTATTGTCAAGTGTGAGTACTGTTCACTATATTCATAAATAAATCAGTATTGTTTGATTGAATTTGTAGTAAGTATACTGCTCTTCTAAAAAGAGACCCTTGGGCAATGAAGCTCACTTAAGTAGTCTCGCACATCACAAATGATAATCTCTTTCTCTCTTATCTCACATCAAAGTGTCATGTTCCAACAAAATTAAACCAACAGGAGATGAGGGTACTTGAAATACTCAACATTCAGCTTGCATGGCTTTGTTATTATTGATATTTTTCCTCTCAAGATTTTCAATATTTTCTGGTTCAATAAATAAAGGCCCCTTTTGCACGCTATCTCACAATATCTGGCCTGCATAATAGAATTACACTTGTATATTAATTTGAAGCTTGTTGGGAAATATTTAAGCGATCTTTATCCTCCATTCTTTGGTAAAATACTGAAGCTTTGCGTGGCTCGATTACAACCGACGAGGATGAGCTTCGATTTGAATCTGTACTACATTGGAATACTGGTATAAATTATTGTAAAATCAAGTGACTCCAAACCTTAAATTCAGTCATTAAAAATGTGAATTTACAATATTTATGAACGCCTATTTATGTTCATTGTTTTTACTGAATGAACATAATGAAGGAGAAAGCGAGCTCTAAACTTCTATATTTAAAATCGCAATTTTTGACTTGCTATTTTAAATTATTTTGACCTTAAATTACATTTTTTAAAATTCTTTTTAATCCGCTTCCCGTTGAACCTAATCTTCTTTATCCAAGATGGAAGGTGTTTGGTTAAAATGTGTACAGTTCTGAAGGTTATATTAGTTGATTCAATTATACATGTATTAACAAAAATCAGACACCGAACACATTTTGATTCATTAATAAGCTTTGGCTCAGATACATGAAATATATGGAGATAACGAACAGTATTCAAGCTCAAAAGTCCATTAAACATTACAAAATAGGTGCAGAGCAAACACGGACCTCCAAAACATCAGAGGTGGGATCAGGTGCCATGGAGGAGTGAGCATCCCCTGCCGACCGGTCACACCCGCCGTGTGCTCCTTGTCATGATCGGGAAATAACGGAAAAATCCGTCACAATTCAGTGTGTAAATAATGGCCTAACAATAAGTATGAAAAAAGTCAGTCAGCTTTTGACTTAATGTTAGATTGTATTTGAGCATTTGACTCAATGGTTATGATAAATTGTATTTGCTGACAAGGTCATTGTATCGACCATAGAACTTACGAAATGATGACATGTACATGGAACCCATTCTGAGTACAAGAGATTTCAAACTACGTTCAAAATACATTTGAGTGAAATTGTCCATTAATCCCATAGCAAGAGCTAGAAAAGTACATAGTATGAAATAATATTTCCCCTTTTCAACAGACTATTTATATTGTATAGAGGTACATCCAAATTTGTAGCTTTAAATGGAGAACCGACTATCAAAGACAAACAAGACAGAGTGGTTCCCAATAATACAGCACTTCACATTAGAACCGGTGGATTCATTTATTTCAACTGTGAAGGGGTAACTGGAAAACCCAAAATACCTATAGTCTGGACAGAATCAAACGGAACAACAGAAAGGGTGCTGAAGGAGGGAGATGGCGCCGTGTCTGGTATTTCTGTTCTAATACATTACCTTTAAAATAGTATATTATAATAATATCGGATATTATGAAACAAATCTTCAAAAAGTATTTAAAACTTTTAAATTTCAATATTTTGGTTTAAATCTGTGTCATGTAGATTTAAAAACCAGGTAAATCAGTACTTTAAATGTGCAGCTAATGTAACTTTATAGCGATGTTCTTTTTGACTTTGACAGGGTTGGAAATTATCCCTGACGATGATATAATGTAGCTTTAATGATGTTCTTTTTGACTTTGACAGGATTGGAAATTATCCCTGACGATGATATAATGTAGCTTTAGTGATGCTCTTTTTGACTTTGACAGAGTTGGAAATTATCCCTGGCGATGATATAATGTAGTTTTAGTGATGTTCTTTTTAACTTTGGCAGGGTTGGAAATTATCCCTGACGATGATAATAAGCTTTATAGTGATGTTCTTTTTAACTTTGGCAGGGTTGGAACTTATCCCTGACGATGATTTAATGTAGCTTTAATGATGTTCTTTTCGACTTTGGCAGGATTTGAAATTATCCCTGACGATGATAATTAGCTTTATAATGATGTTCTTTTTGACTTTATCCCTGACGGTGATGAAATGTAGATTTAATGATGCTCCTTTTGACTTTGAAAGGGTTGGAAATTATCCTTGACGATGATATAATGTAGCTTTAGTGATGCTCTTTTTGACTTTGGCAGGATTGGAAATTATCCCTGACGATGATTTATGTAGATTCCATTCCCAAGTCCATCTGTATTATATTGTACCAGACAAACCCGTCACAATAACGTGTAAGATAGCATTCTCTGTGACTATGGTGCACATCATCCCCGCAGGTCAAACTGTAAACCACAACAAGACGCAACATACACAAATGGTAACCAACAGCTTATCTGTCGTGACACCAGCCGCTACTGTACCACCTCAATTCAGCAACAGAACAACAATACAGTCTACATCTTCAACATCTGCATCATTAACATCAACAACGTTAATGACAGTGCCAAGAAGTACATTTGGACCAACTTCTAACTCAATACTGCTAACATCAACAACTGCGCCATCAACAACAAAATCAACATTTTTAACTTCAACAACAGCAACAACTAAATCAAAATTGCTAACTTCAGCAACAGCAACAACGACTAAATCAACACTATTAACGTCAACAACAGTCATGCCAACAACTAAATCAACATTGTTAACGTCAACAACAGTCGTACCAACAACTAAATCAACATTGTTAACTTCAACAATAGCAGCACCAACGACAACTATAACTTCTACGCTGTCTCCGTCAGCACTATTAACTACAACAGCGGTGCCAACAAATACAGTAATACAAACAAAGTCACCTTTAATACAATTACTATCGACATCAAGTCAAGCTGTGTATATCATTCACAAAAGAAGACATCAGAGTAAGTTACTAATTAAAGCTAGCATTTGTTTTATTGTAGTTTACACACAATCTAAAGCTAGCATTTGTTTTATTGTAGTTTACACACAATCCAATGAAACTATATACAAATACCCATAAGTACGTATTAACTTACAGATCTAATGGGCGAATTTTTCACCATCTCATTTTACTATTGTAGAGGGGTTTAAAAATTGTCAAGCTTTACCAAGTTACCCAAATATCTTTTTGAATATTGGTTTTTTTTTTTTTTTTTGTAGCTGACCTCCATGAGAGACGTGTTTCTCAGAGAGATAAAGAATAAACGTCAATGTACAAAGACATTACATTAATTAGACTGGAATGAAATCAAAGAAACTGTGTCACTGTCTTTTTTAATGCAAATTAGATAAAAATAAGGAAGAATCATATCATTGCATAGACTGACACCTGTAAGTTGTTTGTCTTTACCAGTCACAGCTGTTGTTTTATACTCCTGTCACATTTATATTATTGTTCAGACATTAAATTTTCTCTCTAAGAGAACAAGTGTACTGTTGACAGCTTCAAACTTTTTAACAAAAAAAGACAAACAGTAAATACTTTGTTAAAAGTTTATCTCAAGTAAATAAAATAAATACTAATCAAAAAATAGTTAAAAAACATCCTAGTTTTTAAATCTCACACTGTTCATGTATATTATGCATACTATATGAGTTTCTCCTATATCTTTAAAGATAACTCAATGTACATTTCTTTAGTCAAAGAAATAAAATATCTGAATCAAAAATAACTTTCATAACAACTGAGTAGATAATCTATTGCAAATATTACATAACACAACCTTACAATGTACTGTAGGTCCTTGGACTATTAGAAGTAGAAAGAAAGAGCTCCTCATGAACTTTTTATCACAGATTAAATTAGAGAAATGCACTGTATGTGGACTCACGATTATTGTTGACTTCCATATTTTTGCAAAAATCACCTGTGAGTGGAATACAGTTAAAGTATTGACACCCAGGACAGTCATACAAGGGTAAGACATAAAATAAAACCACCAGTATAATAAACAAGAAAATGGCCCCTCCCAGGGAAAGAATAATCCCAATAATTTTCCGTCGACGGTCGAATTCTCCAAACGACACGTACGGTAACAGAGAAAAGGCTAACAGGAATCCAAACAGGAAACCGCAGACATGGGCCCAGTTGTCAATCCAGGGCAGCAGACCCAGGATGAAGAGAAAGATGATGAAACCGCCTATTTTTAGAACAGCCAGACATGGTGTTTTTAACATCTGAATACTCTGTAGAACCTCCACAAGTAGACAGGCGAGGATTCCGAACTGACAGCCTGCAGGACCCACCTAATACAAGGCAAGGTCAAAGAATATACTACAGGTGAAACTCTTACATTATACAAACTGGCTGGTAATTATTTCCAAAATCTTTTCTAACAATGCTAACAAGAAAAACATTCAGTGGATTATTAATAATGAATTAAAAATAAAATACTAGTTAAACAATGAAAAGTAAGAATGTGGCTGAGTTACCTCTACGTGATATGGTAGGAAAATGGAGCTGGCTAAATTCCCTGCTACACCACTTCCCAGATAAATAATAGCCAGTCTAATACAGCCAGTCAGTTTCTCAATGTCCCGCATAACCAGGAACTGGAAACCTATAGTGATCACCAGGTGAAACAACCTGTAAAAAAAAAAAATGAGATTATATCCTATTATCAATTCTACATGTTAGTTTTTCTAACACAGTTATTCTCCTTAATTAGTATTACCCTTAATTGATTAGCTTTATGAGGAATATAGCCATGCTGCTGTAAAAAAAAATATCAGAATCAATCCTTCGATCAGCCATTATAAATGTTATAAATACTGTGATTGGCCATTATAAATGTTATACATTGTAAATACTGTGATTGGCCAATATAAATGTTATAAAATTAATACTGTGATTGGCCATTATAAATGTTATAAAAACTGTGATTGGCCATTTTATGTCTGATATTTCTTGTAATTGGTTATTTTTGTGTAATTTATAGTGACACACTAAACTTGAGCCAAGAGTACATATCTAAATCAGATAGTTTATAAATAAATGAACATACCCTCCATGCAAAAACAGAGATGTCCATAAGCGATAGAACTGATCTGGTTTATTTTCATCAGCAAAATCCATCATTCCACAAATCTGTCCTAAGCAGTTAACCTATAAATAAAACACTCAATGCTATACTGGGTATACCATGAACATGCAAAAGTAGATTTGGAAACAGCCACACTAATCTGAAAACAACATCAATGTGAGAAAATATTTCATTGCATAGAAGACCACTTTGAGGCACTTTATTAAAGGCTCTTGGATTAAAATATTAAGATGGTTTACCTGTGAACACAGGTATTTGTCCTCGTGATAATAGCCCTCTATAAAGTTACAGTGCTCTCGAGTGGTAATCATACACTCTCCTTGGATACCATGGCAACAAGGTCGACCTGTGATGTCACAACTCATATGTCGGTCAATTTTGGAGGACACATTGGACACTGGTTTTCCTGTATCTTCACAGTACTGTAATTAACAAAATGATTTATATGATGACCATCACTCTATTGGAATAAGTTTTCAGATACAGTATTTCTTGGTATGGTTGTCTTTATGGTACTTACTGGCCACTTTGTGATGTCTGCTTTGTCCCACTCAAAAGGCGCCACAGAAGCTGGTTTATTGCAGTATCTACAATTCATATATTATACTAGTACCTACTGATATGTAAATAAAATAATGAAGTAGATATGGTTATCTATTAAAGTACAACGTATCTTGATGTTTTAAGTTGAATGAAACTTTGAATTTAAACATCACAAAATTTTATGCAATGTTCATAATTTCAATGTACATATAATGTACACATGATTTATATCTATGTACATATAATGTACACATGATTTATATCAATGTACATATAATGTACACGATTTATATCTATGTACATGTAATGTATACATGATTTATATCTATGGTTACATATAATGTACACATGATTTATATCTATGTACATATAATGTACACATGATTTATATCTATGTACATATAATGTACACATGATTTAGATCTATGGTTACAGACAACTTTACATACTTTGGATCTTGTCCACACACTGAGCCTGCAGTGAATCCATTGTTTGTGGTAGCCATTGAAGCATTGTACTTGTGAAAGGTTGAGAGAACAGTCTGAAAATGTAATGAGTGTTAAAATAAGAGTCTTTACTCATTATACTGGTGCATTATCCAGCTGGCATATTAAAAGGGAGATAATCTTTTAACATAACATTTCAAGAGCAAGACCTATCATCAACTCTATCAGCTATTGCTAAAATAATTCAGTATATTATTCAAATAAGAAAAACCAAAACATGTATAGGTAAAGTAATGTTCTTGCATTTAAGGGTAATAAATATGAATTAAAACGAACTACCAAGAATTACTACCATATAAGGTAAATAGCTTACACTACACTTGGATTTGACAGACTGTACACATCCAGACCCATCATCACGGATACAGCATGCTGATTCCTTCTCCTCAGCGCGATCCTTATAGATTCCAGCCCAGATATTGTCGTCATGTCTCATACAGGGTGAATACTTAGCTCCGAGATGTATTAAGTCGGCCTTCAGGAAAACAATACATATGATACACAATTGTACCATCTCAATAAATATTAGTGTGAAATATGTATAAAAGCAGAGTGAATAGAAATATACTTGAACAAACCTGTTTTGGTCCAATCCACAGGTTGTCTTTTTCAACATATCTCACTGTTTCAAAAGCAAGGTTTGGTTTGAGAACCTAGACAAAATACAGATGATGACATTTTTCTTCAGTTGTTCATAAATTGCCTCTCTCTTCTCCTCTATCAGAAACTAAACAAAGCACTTGACTTTCCTTTCAAAAAAATACTCTTTAAAATATTTTTTAAGTTAGATAAACTAAAATTATTGATACTTAAAGCTCCTTTTTTGATCAAATATTTTTTTTACTTACAATTTTCTTGGTCTCTGTCTCTGAAACTCCAATTGGAGCAATTCCATAGACAGCCACAGATACAATGAATATCAAGGTCTGTACAAATGTCACCCAGTAAGTGAAATAAGGTCTGTAATTAATAGATCACACATCATAAATATCATGCAAAATCTACAATAACACAAGGTCTGTACAAATATCATCCAGTAGGTGAAATAGAGCTTGTATTTAAAAGATCACACATCAAAAATATTACACAAAATCTATAATAACATGAGATCTATACAAATATCATCCAGTAGGTGAAATATGGCTTGTTATGAAAAGAACACACATCACAATTATCACATAAAATCTACAATAATGTAAGGTCTGTAAAAATATCATACAGTAGGTGAAATGGCTTGTAATCCAAAGATGAAGGAGGAAAAATCTTTACCAATGTATCACAAATATCAGACAAATTCTACAATAATTAAAGTTGTCCAAAATAAGACATTTTTTTCATTTTACCAGTAAATTACTGGTGAGTGTTATTACCTGTGGTCATCTATACTGTCAATCTGAGTCTTAACGTATGAGTTCATTCTTTCACTTCTGTAACTCCTGTTGAAGAGTCGGCCCACAAATCCCATTCCCACCTCCCTCTTGTCATTGGCTGTGATAGAGTTCACGACCTCTGGCTCCATTCGACTCAGTCCAAACTCCCCATCCTCGTATCCTGAGGGCTTTGCCTTGGGACCAGTTCTTCTCTTGCCCCATCCACCACGAGGTCTGGCAAAATACAGGCCCAGTATCATAATGATGTAGATTTTTAGTGGAATAAATTTGCAGAAAAGGAAAAATTATTCATGTTATTTTCTTCTATACTTTCTGCATATATTCATAATTGTTTTGCAATCATTGCTGATCACACAAATTTCCTGCGACTTACAGTTCATATTCTCCCTCTTCACCGATGCTAGACATTTTCTGGAATGGTTTCTCTGGTGGAGCAATAGGTTCATCATAGAAAACATCATCCACCAAACTGAATGCATCCTCATGTTGTTGCTATCCAAAAAAAAATTCTTAAAATAATCAGTCTGTCTTCAAAATAAATGCTAGTAAGTGTTTCTTTATGTTATTTTCTAAGAATTGTTGATGAGAAAATCTAATTATGTCTTCTTATTTTATCCATATTTCTAAAATAGCTCTGTTCAAACCTTGTAGATAAACTTACCAGCCCTGACATTTTTTTCAAATTTACCACAGGAATGACCAAATTTGACAGTATGAAAAGTCCACAATCTCTGGGTTGCAAGCTGATAAGCTCTTTTTTTTAATGGTTAATGCTTACATGATAGTTAATGCTAGCTGACAGATCGTCTGGGAATTCCCCTGTGTAACTTCCTGGTCCAAAACTTCTCTGTTGTGGCTTCTTCCTGAGCTTGTTCCTCATTCCCTGAAACCAGAAAGATAAAAGTGTTTTCATATATGCCTCACACACTGTACAATACAAAGTCTAGCTTATTCCTCATCCCTGGTCAAAAAAATCCGAAAAGACAAAAGTGTTTTCATATCCCTCACTCACTGTTGAATATAAAGGCCACTGATATCTGATTGTGGTCTGTTCAATTATCAATGTGTTCATAATTATATGACTAAAACTTAATAAACTTTTGAATTTTTTTATCAATGCCAAATAAATGAACAGTTTTCAAAATAAAGATAACCTTTAAGACAATCTTCATACTTACAGTGACCGTCATTATGCCTTTAACAGTCATCTTAGCTACCGATTCCTTCCTGAGTCTCTTTGATGGTCTGTTAACTCGGGCATAAGTACTGGTACTAGACAGAGGAGTTGTCCTTCTTGATCCTGGCATTCTGTAAGGATCATGGATGTATTTGATAGTGGAGGCATCCAGATCATCTTTCAGCCCAAGGTCTCTCTTTTCCAGCTCCTCTGGTTTGACCTGTTTCTTGTAGTAATGAAGTCTCCTGTTCCTCCACCTTTCCTGATGGAGTTTAGACTTTTCCTCATCATCTTCAATTCCAAAGAAACTTGCTACACTGCTGCGAATCTTTCTGCAAAGCAAAAGGAAAAATCTAATTGCATATCTAGAAAAGATATAAGATTCAGTACATGTATAATATTCTGCTTTGCCTTCAGTTTTTTTTCCCTATCTCTTTTGGTTCCTTTGATAAACAAATTTCCACACTTTATCTCCTTGATGGAGATTAAATTGACATGTAAATTCTTTTGATATATATGGACTATTGGTAAATAATCCTCAGGCATTTCAGAGTTTTAATTAATGAAGATATGAAGAAGTGAGTAACTGTCATTAATAATTTCCTTATCAGGTGTTAATTAAGATAATTAATTTTACTCAACAGTACTCATGAAAGGGATTATTACATGCCAGTTACCAAAATGAAATTGTGTGCACAGTCCGAATTTTCTCTTCACCCAGGCATTGCTTTCAGAGCTTGCAGTGACGAGTGGCGCTTCGCGCCACTCACTGCGCTTGCTATAAACACCATTCTTGGCATTTATCTATATCTTAAATCTTAATTATGTAAAAGTGTATTCAACTATTGGAATGTTAAGTGCTTAAGTCCAATGTATTACATTCATCCAAACGAATTTTTTTCCACAGTAACCTCTGGTCCCACAATGCAACGCTTATTGCATCTCGCCGCAAACTACATTCTTGTGGCAACAAAAAACTTCAACAAGAAATAAACTCACCTTGATTTAAAGAATGTTGCAGATAAATAGCAGATTAAAAGTTTTTTTTATTTAAAATTAGCATTGTTCAGGCTTCGATTTGGTAATGCAACTTACATACGATGTCATGTGACGTCAGAGTCTAGACATACCAAATGTCACGTGCAGATTGAAGTGACAGATCTAAATTAAAACTGAATAGGTATCTGCGCTTGCCCAAAAGGTTGCACCGTCAACATATTACTGTTGAAATTGTTATAAATTACAGATGTACCTGGCTACACCTTTCTTCTCCTTGGATTCCCCACTCCCAGGGGTACTGGCTGTGGTCATCTTGGATGCCTGTCTGTCTATTGCCCTGTGACTCATTGTTGTCTGTGTTGTAGCAATTTATAAGGAAATATGTTATAAGTTAGAATATTCATACACAACATGACAGTCACTTTAATGGCAGCTTACTGAAAGTCGACCATTAAAATTTTCACTATTCCTATTGACATACAGAATTTTTAAGTGACTGTCCCTTTTTTAAACTATTCATCGTATGAATCTAGAGGAGTAAATGTAAAATATGAAAAGTAAATATTAGTTAGCGATGTACATGAATCTGAAGCGTGCGTAACGATGCATCACCTGCTTTGACCTCACAGATGTTCTGTTAACACACACATAGCTGTTACTTCTCTTTTGCGTTATTTTATTCTTTGCTTGCAATATCAAAATTGAATCACTTTAAGCTTATTTACCTTTATAAACTCTCCCTGTTCTGTTTATTTTCCGAGTCAATGGCGACAAACCGGAAAGAGCACCTGCTGTATTTTCAGAACACCAAACCCGACATTAAAAAGAATTTGTCAAAAGAAGTTGCGAAGAATCACCAGAATAGAGGCTAACAAAGCAATGTTTTAATTATTTTAAGACTCGTGTTTCTTTGATAAGTTTGTCCTCACGTTATTATCATTTTAGTTTTATTAGAGAAAAAGGTGTCTGTTGATTTTGTAATTGACATGGGAGCTAAACAAGGAATTCAAATAAGGCATCGGGTGCGTCGATTTACCCAAATGGAACCCAAATGGACAAAATGGAACCCAAATGGAAACACAAATGGACCCAAATGGAAATCAAATGGACCCAAATGGAATATTGAATATATATTATCGTATTCTCAAGTTGTTACTTATTCAAAATGATGAAAATAATAAACTTGCAAATGGAAAATATTAATTATTCATTTCTAATATTGTATTTTAAAATAGGAATTATTTTTTTTTTCTATTTGAAATAACTTTTGCATATCATTGAATACAAAATGGAAGTATTTCATATTAAAGTTTATAGATTTCATGGCCGTAGCAACCGGGGGGGGGGGGGGAGGGGCACGAGAGAGGCGCACTCCCCCCCCCCCCCCCCCAATAACCAAAAATTTTGCCGATGAATAGAATACTATAGAAAATTAATTCGTATTTTAAAATACAATATTAGAAATGAATAATTAATATTCTCCATTTGTAAGTTCATTATTTTTCATCAGTTTAAATAAGTAACAACTTGATAACATAATGATATATATTTAATATTCCATTTGGTTTCCATTTGGGTTCGTTTGATTTCCATTTGGGTCCATTTGTGTTTCCATTTGTGTCCATTTGGGTCAATTTGGGTTCCATTTGGGTCCATTTGGGTAAATCGACGTGCCGTAAGGCATCCACTGATGACATGATATTAATATGATGAAAAGGTGTATATCAGAACACGTTGGAAGTACATGCACATGCAGATTTATAAATTATTAAAAAAAAATCAAATTATATATTAGATACATGTACTCTTGCAAAATTATTGTCAGTTGAATTATCTGATTATACTCATTGTCAAGCAATCAATCAACAATGGGAAAAATGGTTTCCATAATCATACATTTCCAAAATAATGACCAGCAATATGCTACAAAAAAAAAAGAAAATAAATTTTTAGATGCTAAATTAAGTTTCCACTTCCCATAAATGAAAAACCTTCACTAGCTGTTAAACCAGCCAATAAATGTGGCAAAAATTTAACACCGACTTTTTTTTCATCAGCTGATGAATACAATTTGAAAAAAAAAACATTCAGCAAGTAAAGTAACATCAGAACTCAGATGTTTAATGTCTGAGGAATTTTTTCAGGTTCAAATACTTATTAGCTATGGATGATCAGCTGCATTGAAACACTGCATCAAGTGTGTGTCTTGTGTTTTACTGTGTAACCTGCAAAAATATATATTACGATGACTTGAGTTACTAAAAATAACTTAGGGAAAATCCAAAAATGTGTTTATAATAGCAGGTCTTTAAAACTCACAAAATCTAAAAATGAATTCGTTTCTCTCTTTTTTTTTTTCATTCCAAAGAAAATAATATAACAAATGTAGCCCTTTTGATTAAGTCAATCCATATATACATGTACATCTTCACAGAAAAGCATATCGACTTACCAGTCAATATTTTTTTCTGTGAAGTTAAGATGTGTATATCTATGGATTGTAGACTTCATAGAAAAGCATATCAACTTTACACTTCATGTTCAGTTGATGTGCTTTTCTGTGAAGTTGATATATCTATGGAATGACTTCATAAAAGGGCTATACATGTATTTGTATAATAACTGCTTCATGAATACTAGTATTTGATTTTTAACCGAGATTTGCAGTTTTAAATATACCACCCAAAACCAATAAAATCTCAAAATTCATTGCTACAGTAAAACTGTCCCCAGAATTACTTGCTATAGAAACATGTCACAAACAGGAAGTTTACAATCCCCAAATGAAGAACAAAAATTAAATATATCATATACTTCTTTACTTCTTAAAAATAGCAAGGTAACAATTAAAAAAAGATAAACATACTTTTGTAAAGATTTCTTCACAATGACCAGATTATTTTTTGTGACAGAAATGTTGGTAATGGTCCTATCTAACGATATTAAAGAAGAGTTACATGTGTCCTGCATGAAGATCATTTATAAAGATCTATTTCTCTGAATGACAAACATTACAACTAAAACAGTAACCATACACTCTAACTTTTTGTTTCATATAATAAATAAAATAATAAAGTTCATTTATTTGCATCAACTCTTACGATTCTGTGTGATTTTTTTAAACATTCAAATTGTTAATCTGAATAATTTATAAAACAAAACAAAAAAAAGCATCTACTGTTTAATGACATTCAATTTTGTTTTGAAGCCATTGGAAGCATTAATAGGAATGCCATTGAAACCTGAGGAATTCTTTCTATTTCTGGGCCGATTATTCCTAACATCACTTTTAGTTGAACCTTTTATGGAATTTTTCATCCTCTGCCAATTTGAATTACAATTCTCAGGTCCCTCTTTCCCTTTCAATCTCTTTTTATCATCATTCTTTTTTTGCTTTTCTGTGTTAATCCTATCATAAATTCTTTTTAATTTTTTACTTTTCTTGTCTTTGGATTTTTTAGGATTAAATGTTTGAGTCTCGATATTTTCCTTCACACTCCTCTTGTCATCCATTAGTTTTAAGCATTCTCCTCCCTCTGACCCACGTGTTTGTTTCTTCAGTTTAACAGACTTTTTCTTTTTTCCTTTATGCTCTAATCTCTCCGTTTCCAACCTTTCATAAATTCTTTTTAGCTTTTTACTTTTCTTCTTCTTTCCTTCTTCAAAAGAATCGTCTTCTTTTAAAACTGCAAAACACATTTTCTACATTATGTAAAACACATATATACATGTACAAGTACTTGATATAGATAGAAAAGGATTTAGGCTTACACTGATGGCTTGAAGTCTTTAAGGTAGAACCTATGTTGGAAAAGTCTTTGTCACAGGATTTTTAAACTTTTCAAAATGAGTAATTAGCACTAGGTTATTAATCAATTAAGAATACATCGCACATTTCCTTTTAATTAAATGTAGTGTGCTGTTGCAATTTAGAATGGTAATTTTACACTGTAACAATAACTTTCAGCCATTTTTAGGGGTACATGGTCATAAGGAGAATATAGAAAATCACATAAATACTTCTTCAAACACCTTTGTTTATAGACTTTATTAACTGAACAATAGTTAGAAATATTTTTTTCAAAATTAAATTCATTTTTCTTCAATTGGCATAAAAGATTAAATCCACATTTCAACAAATATAGACAAATGCGCTCAATATTTTTCAAAGGACATTTTAGTCAATGTACAACCTTAAGTTTATAATAATTTACCAAAAGTCTTTGTTACACTGTTTTCAATCTTTAATATACTGAAGAGCATACCCAAATGATTACGAAAAGTGTTTAAAATATATACCTTTCCCCACAAACTAATGAGAGATATGTTAATTTCATCAATACTACTCATGTTGACCTTTTTGCACTTACACAGGATTTAATGTTTTGGTGTTACGATTTACATTGTGAATATTTTATCAAAAAATATATATTTTATTTAAGAAATTATTTTACTGAAATAATATTTTATTCACGAACCATTAAAAATTTATGTATATAATTGACAATTATGAAAATGGAAACACATTATTTCATAATAGATATTACAAACATTGAACACAATCTTTAATAGATCTATGACTCAGATGTCATATCATCAAGATATTTTACTAAAATAGTCAAATGAAGATTTCTTAGCGACTTTGCATTCCTTCAAACTAGTTGCATGTCATTCACATACACAGTTGTGTATTTTCATTAGCTGAGAAGTCTTGCATTTGTTCACTTAACAATGATGTCGTACGGGTTCTACATTAAAAACTATACCTGATTTTTCCATTTTGGTTCTCTTTGCCTTTTTCTCAGATGACTCCTCATTACCTGTAAAAAGAACAAATATAATCACAAGTAGAGTCTAAAATATATTTATGGGCTTTCCTCTGTCAGGATGCATTGTTTTACAAATGAACTTAGCTTTTTAAAAAAAATGAACAAAACTGTATTGCGAGTCCTACAATACTTGTATGTGCTGTATGATTACATTTTTCAGTAGTAATTTATGTGTTAAGGAGGGATTCCATTAACCTTTATTAGCTTTTCTCTTTGTGGATTTTCTTTTAGTTGAGAAGTCATATCTTTGTACAAAGGGATAGCTGCACACTGAGTACCTATCCATCCTCTGTTCCTCACAATCCTACAACAAAATCTTTTTGTATTAACATAGTTTTCTCTTTCCAAGGAACACTTAGTCTTATGTTAACTAGATTCATGCAGTTGATATACATATTATAATTTCTCAAAATAACTGCTCAAAATAGAATTCATGTTTTTTTTGTCCATCATTACTTTAATCAAAATCTTACATATCCAAAATGGCCTTCTTCAGCACAATTGTAGCAGTATTTCCTGGGATTTTTCTTATTTCGACCTTTCTGTGGACTGTCAATATTTGTCTGCAATAAATATGCAAATGTTTAAACTTGAAAATTTGAATATAGAAAATGACCTTGCCTTTGTGATAAAAAATCATGAAAAAATTGTCTTTATTCAATAGCTGTTGAAGAAAGTAATTACAGAGGAGGGCTGGTTTTCATTAGTATAAAAAGATATGCATCAGCTACAATGTATTGATGTCCAAGAAAATTTACCAGTCAGTAAAAGAAAACAAAGGACTTACATTGTGAAGATGTCTGAATTTAAAGTACTTAAAAATTATACCACTATAAAAGTTACCAATGATTTCACAAAATAATGAATTTCATCAATAAAATAAATCATTTTTCAGATCTACTTACAGTTAAATGATACTGTCGCCATTGATCTGGACAGGTCTGAAAAAGGCAAATAAAAAAATGTAAGTATTCTCTAAAAAAAAACAAAAATAATAAATATGAAAAAAAATTCTAGAAAACAGAAAGCAATTAAGGGCATTGCTATCTTTCTTACATTATTTTTTTTTTCATGTTTTAATGTTAAAATACAAAAATCTAGTTTACATATTTTAATTCTCAGTGGTGTCCATGTATACACTCTTACCCTCTGGCTGTGGCCATTTCTGCCACACCGGAAGCATGGATTCCCCTTTGGGACGGTTCGTTCCTGGCAGTCTCTGGCCAGGTGACCTGGGCAGTAACATCTATAGCATGCCCTTTGTTCACAGTGTTTGTGGAAATGTCCAATAAAACCACACAGTATACAGATCTCCAACTTCTGCAAGAGATAGAACTTCATTCAAATCATCACATAAATCAGAGAAGCCATATCTCTGACTCATCTGTCAAAGAAAATTGTAGACGTTGTGTCAATAGTCAATATACCACAATTCTTGCTGTTACTATTTTCCAGCTTGATACTAATGAGTTACCTAGTATAGCAACCATGTTTCAATGAATGTGTACATTTATGTGTTACTATTATACCTCTATTAAGAATACTCAAATTTGATTGGCTAGTTAGAAGGCTTTTAACCTCAATAATGACTACAAAAAGTACCATTTACAGCAATAATGACCTAGAAATCATTGCACGTGGGGTATAATGACCCGGTAATGACCGCTAAAAATGACCTGTTAATCTAAATTCCATTCAAATTTAAAATTTAATGCATACAGTAATGACTGTTCGTTACAAAAAATGCCGTTATAAAAATATGTATAGTCTTTTTATGATATGGTATACGATTGTCCTTTAGATGCGTCATAAAATTTATTGTTTTCATTGAAACTTTCGTTACAATGTCAAATTCAACGAATAAAAACTTGGCTCTTTTGTACAGTAAAAGTCTGCACCAGATTGTCATTGTACTCGGAAATGGTATTTGTGAATTTATAAAAATGCAGGTCACTGATAAAAAATTGGCGGTGCAAAAACTTACAAGACTTGCAGGCGAAAAGTAAACAACTTAACAAGCGAATCCCGATCCTGATGAAACACTGATAATAACAGTTTGTAGGTCTAATACACAATTGGTTATTTTAGTAATTAAGCCTACAAAAATTTTCTTAACTTATATCGGTATAATAAAACAACTGATTACCCCTTATGAGTTCAACATGGTTAAATAAGGACCCTCGACCTGGCCCACTCACTGACCTGACCTGACCTCGGCCGCTACGCGGGCCAGGTCTCGGGTCCTTATTTCACCATGTTGACCTCATAAGGGGTAATTAATTGTATATTATATCTGTTACTATGGAAATACATGTAACACAATCAGATAACTTAATAAAAACCTCCTTACACTTGGTTTAAGACATGAATTTGCCATATGTCCATGCTCTTTACAATTGTGGCACTTGTCAAACTTATTTCCATAGTAACGGCTCTTTGCATGTTGTGGCACAGTACCATATTTATCAGCATCAATTATGAACCAACTTTTCCGATGGTGCTCTGAAAAGTATATTATAAAAAAAAAACCAAGCTACACTCTATTAGCAATTTTTCTACTTCTTACATAATTTTTTTGTTTAAGAATATATAAGAACTCTATACCAAAGTCATATGCAGAGGAAAGTTTGGGTTGGTGCTCTTCATCAACATTAACATGGAGTCCTTCCATGTCTGAGAGCTCCTCATCTAACAGCATATCATCACTGTACAAGGAATCATTACACATATCATCATCATAATCTTCTTCACTGTCTGACAGCAGTATAACATTGGTCTTCCTGTCTAAGTCAATCTCTTGCTCGCTGTCCGAGTCAATCTCAATCACAGATTCCTTACCACTAGAGAGTTTACTCCGTTTGTCTTTATACAATACCTCTGTCACTTTAGAATTTTCTTCTTTGTTACAATCATCTGAATCTGTTTCAATAACCACTGAAGTCTCTGTTGAATTCACACTCATAAAACTCTCCATTCCTATAGCGCTATCTTGCGATTTACACAAAAAATAAGATTCTTTGTCCTTAATATGTGATAATGATACCATGGATAAACTTTCACTTGGTTTATAAGTACAAGTACTGTTTGTGCTTTTGACATCAATATCATAATGTGCACTGATGTGTGCTGAGCTGTTGGAATCCCCAGTTTGACTGTTTTTACTGACATTATAGTTTTCAACATAAGAATTGTAATGAATTTGGGAATACAATGCATTTTCGATCTCTTCCAAATCAGATGATTCACTCTCCTCCTCTTCAGACTCCATCATTTCTATTGTTTGCTTATTCTCTATTAATAAAGGAAAAACTGTGCCCAATAAAATTACACCAGATCAGGTCGAGTACAATCAGTACATTTAGCTACGTAGCTAAAATTACCTACCGTAGCTTTATTTATCTACCTCAGGTAGCTTTATTTAGCTATTTCAAGGCAATTTTTCACAATTTTGCTTTTTACTTTAATAAGACAAAAAATCGCAAGTAAATGTCTACTAATATTTATTCTAGGTATTATTTAAAAAGCAATTTAAAGCAGAGATAGTTTTAACATTGCTGCGTTTGAACACTTTTAAGGAAAAGATGTATTTCCATTGTTTAAGCAACTGTACACCACCTTGTGTGCGATGAGGCATGGATACTGTATGTGTACTTAAAAAAGCGGGCTTCATATTTTAGTGGCTTTGGCGTGGACAACGATGTGCTAATTCACGAATACTGTTAAAAATCATTGATGAATACAATATATGACGAGGACGTGTGTAGCGCTAATTCATGATTACGCCAATCACTCAATACCCAGTGGTTGCACTAAATTTTGAATACGCCAATTTATGTACACATACAGTAAGTATGATTACTTCACATTGTGCTCATGTTAACCAAAACTGTTTTCTTTGTTATATCACTCAAGAAGTAACTGTTAGGTCACAAATTAACTGTTGTATATAGCCCCAAAACTTCAGAACTTAGATTGCAATTGCGCAGAAAAAGACACATCTCCAAAAGTGATTTTTTCATGAATTGTTTTCAGATGAGTTCAAAGTTGAAAAATATCACTGCATCAAAGTGCAATTTTCTGCACTTTCTCGGAAAAATGCTAATTTAAGAAATAAGCTTGATTTATTAGCTAAATAAAGCTAATTCAGGTAGGTAAATAAAGCTATGTAGGTAATTCAAGCTACGTAGCTAAATCTAGTGATTGTACCAGACCTCCAGATGAGAAAATGATAGGCTACACATTTACTTTAAAATAATGACAGTACCTCCAGTGTTTAATTTGATAGTGCAATATTTTGATATCTTTAAAATACATAAATATGATACAGGCAATAGTACAACAGGGACTTATAAGCAGATAAGTATATTATAAACGAACCTATTGAAAAACATACAAGTACTCTAAAAAAAAAAAAAACAAGCCTTGAAAATTCAACAAGAAGAATAAAATTTAGAAAATTGTTCAAATAGAGAAATTTAAATTATGTGATACATTTCTAACCTACATGAACAAATTAAAAACACTGATGACATAACTCACCATACCCTGTCGAGAACAAAAAAAAAACCCTATCGCAATGTGCTCGTCAAGGTGAAAAATTTTCTTGAAATCTCTTATTTAAATTGTATTGTATTTAAACGTAGTGGAGATCTCACCACTTTTCGAATTCATCGGGATTTTACGGCTCATCCGTATGGTAAGAATAGAGAACTTTGACGCCGAATGTCTAATCAAGCAAACGTTTGCTACAACAGAAGATAAATGAACATCGTCAAAATCCTTTTAGATAGAGACGAAATTCCTTGACATTTCGTTGCTAGCAACTGCTAGATGTTCATCTGATTTTTGACGATTAAAATGACGCATTTACAACTAAAAGAGGGAGAATATACATCGACAATATATTCTTTGGTAAGTAATCTAGTAACTTTTCCTTCTTTTAAATCTATGATTTCCCCGACAAGTATTTTTTTTTTCATTTTTTTTTTCACTCTGTTCAACATTTAGATAAAAGACCAGCGATATAATGATGCAGTTCAACTTCTTAGTAGTCAAGTCCAGGGACACACAAAGGTAAGAAATAATTAATATGACACTCAAGCTCAATAAAATGGTGCAAATGATGTCGCTGGGGGTTAAGCGTAAAAAAATAATGAAATGTCAAAGAAAATACTTTTTGAATGAATGCATGAATATGTAACCTTTAAGGCAAAAATACAAAAATGAAGTGAACAAATCATATTGAGATATTTTATTTGGCATATAGTGATTTTTTGAAACGTACGTTACTGTCGCCAACATCGAATAATTACACTTAAATGGCTATTTTTTGTACAAATAACAGTTGAATCTTAAATTAGATAGCATATATCTTCAAAACATTTATTTGTAAAATGCTTTTAATAAATTATTGAGCATAATCACAAATATATTACCAAACTTTGATCTGATATCCCCATGTCGCCAGAAACAAAATAAAAACGGACCGTGACATTAAATATAGTATGAGTATTAGGTATTGTATGCCTGTAAGATTGGAATACGTTTTATTTTGAAGGAAACTTCTTGAAAATTAAAAAAAAATGTTACAAAGCCTTGTATATGTTACCAATACTTTGAAATTACATTCTATCTTCCTATTTTACATGCGTATGGATAGGCATGAAACATTCGTTGTATTAGTTTAATAGATGAAATAGAATGATATCATAGTTAAACATGTGATACTTTTTCTTCTATCCAACAACTGTATTCCATGCTCCAAACATGATTTAACAATGTCTTATTGTTAGCTTACTATTTAAGAGAAAATGATTAAATGAAACAACCGTTACCGAAACATTCGTTACCAAACCTCTTAAAAAAGAATGATTTATGAGTTCAAACATCTTCTGCACATATACGTAGTCAAATATTTTGCGCCAGTATTCAAATTTTGACATCCGGAGTACGGTACTGCCTTTTTTATGATTTTTTTCTAAAGTCTAGACAGTGTTGGTGAGTTTGTTTTCTAGAATGCAATAACAATGAATCAAATGTAATGAATTAGAATGTAACTGTTAATATTTATATAACGACCGACAACAACTACGCAACCAGTATCAATCTACACCTGAATGTCCTCTGTTAGTCTTGAAAGGTGTTGAAACGTTCGTTACCGAAGGTAACGAATGTTACAAAATTTTTAACAAATCATATATCAAAATAGCAACAATATTTACAGAATTTCTTTCATGACTAATTGTTCGAATGTAAACTTTATTGATTGATTTGTATCATTTTAAGCTTAAGTTGCATAAATTTTAATATAAACTGATTCTAGAGACGCATTATTGAACACACACGTTAATTCTGAAGAAAAACATTAATTGAAATTATTTTGAAAGACATTTTTAGATTGAATCATATGATATTGATTAAACAAAGGCTTGAGTTTCTATTCTGAATCGACATCAGGGTTTTTTTGTTTCTCTCTTATAATTTTGATACTGTTAAACTCGCATTTTATGTTAAGTAACGTACGTTTCAGCATTTTATTTTAGTTGAACTATGGCTTTGACCCAAGCAGAAACACGAAGGAAGTTTCCATTGATGGTTATATGATTTCAAGCTAAAAGTCGTCAGAAAAATTGTTATTTACATTATTTTAGGTTCTGTTAAGACGTCTATACAGACAATTTTACATATATCTCTTATCCGTTTGTACATATAGTACAGTTCAAGGAAAATATAACACGATGATATAGATGATGCAGTTCAAATTATGATTTCTTTTGACATTTTCAATACCATGGCACAAGTAGAGCAGAAATTACATCTCATGAATTGGTCCATTTTGTTGGAATTAATCCTAAAAACAGTAAATATTACTTCTTATGAAACATTCGTTACATACGGACGTTGTTGCATTTGAAAGTGTAAATAAGAAAAAGATCACAATTCATGAACAACATTTTATTTAACATTTCTATAAATGGATCCTCTATTCATTCAGAACCCCCATTTGCGCTGGGCAGTTTTGATTTTTCTTGAGGCATATTTGAAATATAAAATTTTAGAGATATGTCAAATTCATTTGAAGAAAAAAAATATAATACGACAATTTGACTGCATTAATTCATAAAATACATTATGACAGTTGACCCTTTTTGTCTTATCACGAAAGTAAGTAGACTGATTTGCTTTTGACATTGAGGATTTATTACAATCTATATTATTTCATCCTAAAATCTTAAAGGAAAACTATAATATGATACGTAACGCTTGTTTCTCAGCAAATAATGATCAACAATACACCTTTATTTCAAATTGACGTAATTTCTTAACCAATGAACTTAACTTGAAAAATCTTTGGGAATACAAACTTGATATGTTGATCTATCCGAAAATGTTATTAGCAGATGAATAATCAAAAGTCGATTTTTAGAGAAAAAATATCTTGAATTGCACCAATTTATTGACTTTGGGTGATGAGATAATGGCGATAAGGCCTTACATGTTTTCATATTGAAATTGATATACTTCTTCAATTTAAAAATCTTTCACTAGAAGCAGTGATTGGGAAGGCAATGAAGGTCAATGGGACTATGGTGCAACTGTCAAAATTTTTAATGGGCCATTTTGAAAATGAATGGGCCATCTATATATTTTGAAGGGCCATTTAAGAAATTACAAAATGACAAAGAAATACATATTTTATTAACTAAATCTAATTTTTTTTACATATGCAGTGCAGCACGTTTAAAGGAACCTGCATACAATATGTTATACCCATATATTTTTTGATAAATAGCGTCTGCTCAAAAATTTGGATTGAGCATTGTAAATGAGTGAGGTAATGTACCCTCGTAGTCCTATTATTAGTACTTTATATAACATGAAGCAGTTTTTGACAAGTTTTGACCAGTAAGATTTGCCTTATTACAATGACTGCATTTAAAATGAAATTAAAATAAGAAAGTTGTACGCAAAATAATATTTCTTACAAACATCACTAAAAATTAAATGTGTATGTTGGCACTGCCAATGATTGATTTAATGTGCCATTTTTCACTTCAGTGTGACTATGGTGCATGTTGCAAGCCCTTCTCAATCACTGAAGGAGACATTTATCGTGAAGCAGAGTGAAAAACTTTTAACACCTGATAATCTTTATAATAATGACAGTAAAAAACCTTAATATTTATTACAAGATGCCTCACCTTTTATGGAGAAATTAACCAAGTAAATATTGCACTAATATGGTATCTGATTCTTTGATTTTAGTCCAGAGCTGCCTTGTCACTTCTTGGTTACTGCTACTTTCAAATGCAAGATTTTGTCAATGCTGCTGACTGCTATGAAGGACTGAGTATGATGCATCCAGAAATCGAGGATTACAAACTGTACTATGCTCAAGCCTTGTACAAAGCCTGTCTGTATACAGAGGCTATGAAAGTAGCCTGTCAGATTGATAATCCTCAGTACCAAAGTCAGGTAAGATAAATAAGGTTAAGAAATAAGGTCTGGTAAGGTAAATAATGCTTAGAACCAATGTCTAGTAACATAAATAATGCTTAGAACCAATGTCTGGAACGACCAGTAAACTAAATACCAAAGTCATTTAGTAAGATTGATATCCAATGTACCACAATATGGTATAAAGATTGTACATTCACAAAAATAATCTATTAAAGGTATGGTAAGTATAAGTTATTTCATATTCCACATTACCAAAGTTATAAATGATTGACAATCCACTTAATCAAAATATGGTGGTGATTTTTCTTCCTCTTGTGATATTTTTGCACTAAACATAGCCTGGAATATAAAACATGTTTTTATTTCTTAAAATCAAGTAACTTACTTTTACTCTCATTTTTTGACTGTAAGTTTTGTTACATGGCTCGATTTGATATTTTGGAATAATTTTGAAGTTTCTTAGTAAAATTAAAAAGAGAGATCCTGTAAGTATAGAATCAAAGTTTTATAGTATTGTAAGTTGGAAGAAAACCTGTTTTTAATAATTATGGTTGTTATGTTTTATTCACTTTGTTATATGTTTATCCATCATTGGTTTCTTAAACTTTCATTCTAATAGATTAATTATTACACATTATGATAATTGTAAGACAAAGTGAAATCATAAAAAATAGCATGCTGCTACTTCATGGTGTAGATCTTTATACCAAAGTAAATGTTAGAGTCTTTGAAGTATAAAAATACATCTGAGGAATTTGTGATCACAGCAATCAAGTTGATTTCTATATATTACAATAAATACTTGTCAGTCTTCATCAGAAGTATTTCTATTAGTCAGTTAGTAAAGGCTGTGCATGCATTGAAAATAAAAACATGCAAAAATCACATAATATAGTTCATATAGATGACCTTGTATTTAACCGTCCTATATACATGTATTTACAAATATCTTTTTAATTGCATTATTAATCATGTTAAGTCTATTTGAGTTCCTAATGTGCTCTTACAAAATAATTTTTTTTCAGCATGACATTAGCTGGAATTTTATTTGGGAAATTGTATTTATACAAAGTGACTTGATAAAAAATTTAATTGATGATGAAATTTTAAAAGATTTTACTTAATTCTCTAGATAACCAAATTACAAGCTGCCATCAAATTTGGAGAGGAGGATTTACCAGGAGCTAAGGTTGGTAATTTTTGCTTGACTTAATCAGAGCCAATTGATTTTCAAAAGATCAGCAGCAAAAGACTATCCCTTATCTTATATCAATATATAATGTTATAGTATTGTATGCTTCCTGTGAAATACGTCTTTGATTTTATAACAAAGTTGATTCGTTCGTTGACAGAGTTTAGTAGAACAGTGTCCATCAGATGATCCTGATACAGAGATCAACCTTGGCTGCCTTCTATATAAGGTAATCCCTGCAAAGGAAAAACATACTTTTGATCTGTGCATTTTTCCCCCTATCTTATCCTCTGGGAAAAAAAAATTGGGGAAAGTCAGTGCTTGCAAGAATAACCTAGTTCATTTATGTATTTTTTTTAATGATGTAGTAGCATTTAGATGTATATTGGTTGGACACAAGTTCTCAAATCTAGAACTCCCTTGTTTTCTGTTGCATAAGAATTAAGAACCCTCTATACATTGCAAACTTGAGAGTTCTGATTCTGAGCTATTTTTGTGCATGCAGAAAAAGTAATCTTGCTCTAGATCTAAAATAAAATGAATTGAAATCTTCAGTTTACATGTATTACTCACTTTGTAATTCAATTCAAGCATTCATAACATTTTAATAGGCCAAGAGAAATTAATCAAACTCTTTATTTGCATCTATTTTCCCTATTTGAGTAAACAACAGTCTTTGAACATTTTTCCTGGGGATAAATGCTATGTACCCTATGCTGCAAATGAAATAAATCTGACTGCTCAGTATTTCTATCTTTATACAATATAATTTTCTTAATGTTCAAAAATTTTTGCTTTAGTGTACAAAGGTCCTTGAAGTCCTATTTTTATTAATAATTATATAAAAAAGACTCTGGAATGAGATAAGGAATATTACATCCTTTGCTCTTAAAAAGATAAATACCAGAAGTGATTTTTTTTTCCAGTTTCAATAATTTTGCATTTTTAAGATAATAGGATGATATTTTGTATGATTAGGATAAGATGTATGAGGAAGCTTGTCAGAAGTTTACCACAGCCATGCAGATTCTAGGATACCAGCCCCAGCTGTCCTACAATATTGCTCTGTGTCACTACCAGATGAAGCAGTATGCCCCCGCCCTGAAGCACATTGCTGACATCATAGAGAGAGGCATTAGAGAACACCCTGGTTAGCGACTCCATATTTGCTTAATGATGATACACTCTTCTATTACATACCTTTGATTGATAAAAAGTGGAATTGTTCTGAGGAATTTTCTAAGTTTGATACAATGTTATTCCATCTTTTTATAGGGAAACATTTCTAAGTAGGGAACAAATTAAAACATCTGTACTTCATGTCTCTCTCTATGCATTTGTGTGTGTTTAAGTAACAAGATAAATATCTAGAGACCAGGGCTTGCTAGACTTTGAATGATTTTGTAGAGCTGAGTGTGGGAATGACCACTGAGGGGATAGATGTCCGGAGTGTGGGTAACACCCTGACCCTGCATGAGACAGCTCTGGTGGAGGCATTCAATCTCAAGGCGGCCATCGAATACCAACTCAAAAACTGTAAGTTTTTTTTTTAGAATTAACTTCTTTATATTATATTTACTGGTATCTGATACAAACTTTGGCCTATTTCAACAGAAAATGATTTTTTGGTCTCAAGCTTTTCCTACCATTTAATCTTGATGTACTATTGAGTTTATAACAATAGTGTGCTATTACATTTTGTGTCTTGCTTATATAGATGGGTCAAGGGTGTAGTTTTAAAATTCAGTTATAAACGTACATAACACAGATTAATAGAATATTTATATTATTTAAATTTTGGTGTTTGCATGTAGTTAATGACCTAGTAATCTGGATTACAGATTATGGTTCCACTGATTGTAAGTTGAGTAACAGACCTTAGTTCAGTGAAGTCTTTGGCTGTTCTAATACTTCAAGCAATCAGCTGTTTTAGATGTGTACATTCAGATTATACATTGCTAGAGACATCACTTAATATTAATGACTACTTATGGGATGAATTGCTCTTGATTTGGAGTCCCTTTTAAATTTTTTTGCTTGATGGTGAATATTTAAATTTTGTATTTTTGACTTGATAAAAATCTCTATGAGAAGTTTTTAAGAAGAATATTTGGCAAAATATTGTGTGAAGTGGAGCTGATCTACCTGTTGCGTACTTGACACCTACAATCTGTCGTGTGAGGAGGGCATTGTGGGACTTAAGAGTTGCTTGTATTTTGATATTTACTTCCCATATTGTCTCTGACAGAATATCAATTATCCAAACATCTTCATACAACATTGTATACAAGTCTTTATCTTCATTTTATTGTAAGATTGCAAGCAATAAAAATTATTTTTTATAATCATACTACTATTTTAGCTAGACTAAAGTAGTAATTAAAAAAATCAGCAAAAGTATGTTTGTGTTTTAAGTCTTAGAATGTAGTTTTAATAAAACTGTAACCTCTGTCATTTACCACAGTAACCAAAATAAATCTAATTTCTTTGATACATTTATTGCATATAAAATATTAGCCTGAAAATATGAAATTACTTTAATTGAATTGAATATCCAAAAGTTTTAAGCTGGAAGAATAATAAATATCTGTGACTGTATTTGTTGGAGTTTCAAGTATTATAGCATCGTTAATTTCTTTCTTATATGTCACTGAGTCAGGTTTATGTTTTGTTTTCAGTTGATGCTGCCTGCGAGGCTCTGACAGACATGCCCCCCAGGGCTGAGGAGGAACTGGATGCTGTCACCCTCCATAACCAGGCTCTGATGAATATGGAACAGCACCCCACCCAGGGATTTGAGAAACTGCAGTTCCTTCTCCAGCAGAATCCGTTCCCCCCGGAGACATTTGGCAACCTGTTGCTACTCTATGTTAAATACGAGGTAAGCAAGTTTTAAATCATAATGTGTGATGAAATCTATTATGGAACTGACACATCAAGTTGTTTTGGAAAGTTTTGCATAACAGAAGTATTCTGTACATGCTATGTCATTGAATAAGAACTAGACAAAAAAGAATTCCAGATAAATGTTAAATGGATACAATTTTTTTTAATTTGATATAAATATTAAAGATTTTTAAACATTTCTGCATTTTCCTTCCATTTATGTTTTCAGTATTTTGACTTGGCTGCAGATGTACTTGCTGAAAATTCTCACCTGACGTTTAAATTTCTGACTCCAGTAAGTAAGCACAAACATAGGCTTATTTTTTAATACTTGTAAATAAGATCTGATGTTAAAAATTTATTTAACATAGTCAGTTTTACAAGCTGACAGGAATGTTTATTGGTGCCATAGCAGTAAATAAGTCTGATACTTTGCTTTAATCTGTTTTTCATCCCTTGTGTTCCAGTACCTGTATGACTTTGCTTTAATCTGTTTTTCATACCTTTCCATGCAGTACCTGTATGACTTTCTGGAGGCTGTGATTACCAGTCAAACCTCTAAAGAAGAGGCCTACAGGAAACTGGAAGAGATGGCCAAGAATCAGACCGAGACACTCAGTAAACTCACTAAACAGGTACTCATACTCAATCTCATCTCACAGTCTACACTCAGAAAGTATATATAGAATTTTTATCTCTGTAAATTGATCTACTGGTTTGATATCAAAATTTAATTTTTACATATAAGGTATTTTTCACTCTTAATTAAAAGGAAATAAAGAGCACCAAGTTTTCTTAATGCAAAGGCCAGGGATTTATCATGTTTGTTTGGAAAGTGTTTTTCAAAAAATAAAGTTATGTGTACACACTTATGAGCAGGGTGTTTTACGACCGTCCACTGTTCATTCAATCACTTGTTTTCTTTTGATAATATGTGATGCGTGAAACACCTATGTCTTGGCGTCATGTGATTTCAATCACAGCTGCAGCATGATCAAATCCCTCCTTGCGTCTTTTGAATCTAAGCAAATCAAAAGTGAAAGTGCTATATAAGGAATTAAAAGTACTTTTGAGTAGCCCTAAGTATTGACAGAGAGGACTATTTTGATAGGTTCAGTCAAATTTAGGACAACTCTGGGAGGTAAAGCCATACTGCCGTGAAGCACAACAACTGCATTCATTATTTCTCTGTAGGAATGTGTGAAAAAAATGATTTGCTAGCAAAAGATTTGAAAATATAGATAATATTTTCTAATATATGGCAGGAGTAAGACAAGCTTTAATCTCAAGATGTAATGACAAGTGATTGAAATCTGTGATGAGTTACCATTTTTAAGGCACAAAATGAATTTGCAGTGAAAGTGTCTACATAAATTAATGAACTTACACAAGCACACTCTAAGCTAATAACAGAAGCTTTGTGATCTATACCATGATTGTAAGATTGAATTCAAATATTTCAACAACAAAAAAAGTAAATATCAAAAAGGATTGTTGAACAATAGAAATTTCCTGGAGTTTACATTTCACAACATTGTCACCTGAATCATTGACTGTTGAAGCACACATGGTCACAATTGAGTCACAGAAGTATGACGAATTAACACAAGATTTTTTTTACTTGATATATTGTGCAACTCGGAGGTTTCTCAGATTAATATTGGTTTTCATATGAGGATTTTGTTTAATCACATAAATAACACATAAATAGGTAAACAAGATACAGATTTAGCTGTTACTATAGGTATAAAGTTTTTAAAAATCAGTTTTAATTGTTTGATAATTAAACCATAATAACTGAAGAAATGTAACTTTGTTTTGAGTTGAGTTTTGAAGGCAAATTATCCTTTTTTTTTTTTTTTAAATCAAGAAAACAGGTACATTGCATTCATTCCAAGATTTTTTTAATACTGATTATCTTGCTATGTTGTAATTAACAAATGTTTGATTGTGAAGTGAGTGGTTATTCACATTTAGGTCCAGGAGGCTCGACAAAACCATGATGATGAGGCTGTCAAGAGAGCAGTCAACGAATATGACGAGGCTCTGGAAAGGTTAGTGTCTTATTTTCTGTAGGTACTTAGGGTGATATATTTAATGAGGATGTGGAGAATGAAAGTATGCTTGTAGATGTTTTGTAATGAAATACACATTTAAAATGAAATCATAATAAGCTCTGGAAGAAAATGTCCTGATATTAGAAAAAGATAACTTAAAAGTTTCATGTTTGCAGACTGGCAATTTGGGGAGGGAAGTGTTGACTAAATTGAATTTTAGGTCTAACAACTGTTCACTGTCCCATGCAATTTTCCATTTATGTACATTTCTGATCTTCATGTATTGTCATTATTTCTGAAGTGTATGGTTATAAGGACTTTTATATGATTTAATTGAATCTACCAAAGTAACCAATGTTACAAAAAAAAAAAAAAAGAAATAACTAAAAATATCAATAATTAAATGAAATTTAAGTCCAAGACATAGGATGTAAAGCTACTGAAAAACAATGCTAAATGTTTAGTTTACCAAGAATTTATATAAAATCATTTGATGACAGACATTTACTTATTATGTATAAACATCAAAGATAGTAAAAAGGGCATTGTCTTCACACAAAGTATTTTTAACTCATTTGAGCTGGAAGCCCAAGTGAGCTCTTTTGATCACCCATTGTCTGACATCCATCTGCCCATTTGTCTGTCTATCCATCTACATGTATCTGATAACTTTCAAATTTTCAACTTCTTCTTGAGAACCACTGGGCCAATTTTTTTTTTTGAAAGCCCTTGAGTAAAGGGAATTCTAAATTGTTCAAATGAAGGACCAAGTCTCCTTTCAAGGGGAGATAAATTAAGAAAAGGCAAAAATAGTGTGGGGTCACTTTAAAAGAATTTCTACCTTGAAAGTAGAACCCTTGCTCATCATAGAAGAACCCTTGCTCATCATAACCATGCACTTAATTTGTCTGCTGAATACCCAGGAGCAGAAAAGACTATTAAAGAATTTATGCATTTTCACTATATTATCTATTATAGAGCCCCATCCTAACACCAGAACCTCTGGCCCAGGCACCATGAATTTCACACTTTTGGAAAAAGAACCCTTGCTCATCATTACCATTCACTTAATTTATCTGCTAAATACGCAAGGACAGAGAAGAATTTTTTTCAAGGAAATAATGTATCTTTACTTTATAAACAATAGAGCCCCGTCTTAACACCAAAACACCCTAACCAGGGGCTATGAAGTTCACAAATTTGGAAGAATTATCTTTGCTCGTCATAACCATGCACTTAGTTTGTTTGCTAAATACCCAGACACAGAGATGAATATTTTCAATGAAATAATGCATTTTTACTATGCAATCAATAGAGCCCAACCCTTACACCAGAAACCCTGACCCAGGGGCTTTGAATTTCACAATTTTGGAAGAGAAACCTTTGCTAATCATAACCATGCACTTAGTCTATCTGCTAGATATCCTGTACAAAGGGAGGGAAGAAGCTTTTTAAAGAATTTTTGCATTTTCACTATAAGATCAATAGAGCTCCACCCTAACTCCAGAAATTCTGATCCTGGGGCCATGAATTTCATGACTTTGGAAGAGAACTAATGCTTATCACTATCATGCCAACAGTTTAACTGAGTAAAGAAGAAGATTTTAAAGATAGCATAAATTTTGATGGTTTTAGCCCCACCCTTCAGGCCCCTGGGGGGTAGGGGCCATGAATTTTTACAATTGTTACTCCCCTTCACCCATAGATGCTATATGTCAAAATTGGTTGAAATTATTTCAGTGGTTCTGTTCAAGAGAAAGAAGCTGAAAATGTTCAAAAGTTTATGACTGACAAATGACACACATTGCAGGATAATGGACTAAAACAGATAGCAATTAGGTCCCCTGAGTAACTCAGGTAACCAAAAAATTTCAAAAATCTTCTGAAGAACTAAATAGAACCCATTAATTTGCAAACATTTTGAAGCTGTGTGGGTTCATTTTTTTCCCAAATAATGGACCCACAGTTTGAGTTTGCTAAAATCGAGGTCAAATACTAGTATTAGGTCATGCATGTATACAGGATAAGAATTTCCTTTTCCATAACTACAAGTCAGTGTTAGTCATATTGATATTGAAGCACTCCCATGTTTTGTGGATTCAGAGATCCCTTAGAATTAGGATGGGCCATTATATGGGGTCACAATTTTTCATGGAAATATTAAGCAGAAAAATCTTTAAAAAAGCAAGGCTAAAGTTACTCAGGAGACCATTGTGGCCCATGGGCCTCTTGTTTGTAAAAGTGCACCTTAAGCATTTTAAGAAGATCGTATGCACGGGAAGAGGTTGCATGTCTTATTTTCCTCTGTCTATCGTGAGTCCAAAGGAGAATTGATGACTGAACTCTAATTGTTTGTACCTAACATAAAGTGGAAAAATCCAATTATGCTGGAAAAAATAAGATGGCATTGTACTTTAATTTGTTATGGGCAGCAAATTTATAGATAAGAAGCCAATCCTGAATTGTTGTGTTCCTCCCACTACAAGTGACGGAGATCCAGGGGTGATAATTTCCGTGGAGTGACGTGTCTCTGTTTATCTGTCCCCATGTCCTAATCCTGTGATGAAAGTTTCCCGTCAGCTGACGTGTGTTTATCCGTCCCCTCTTTTGTGGCTAATCACGCTGATACTAAGAGCCTTCTGCTCACTGGTTTGTGTTATCAATAATCCAGCAACTGTGACAGCAGAAAGATGCATGTAGAATTAGTATTGATTTACTTAACTACATTGGACCCTGTCCAATTCCTTATTCCAGTGTGTTCAAGAGAACACGATTTCAGCTCAAATATTTCCATTTTTTAATAGAAATATACAAGTCATCTGGGAAATTAACTGTATGTAGCATTGAAGCAATAAATCATGGAAAGTATTTTATTATATACATTACCTACTTTATGAAATATAAATGAAAAACTTAACAAACTATTATACTCAAAATTGGATGGGGAATGAGTTTTTACGATCTCAATTTGGCAGAGGGAAAAAATCCCATTTCGTTTTGAGCATCTATAATAGATCTTTACATTTTATCATACCGTTGAATGTCCTGAAGTCCGAGCAAGTCCTCTTAACATTGTAGAAGGGGAATGCTATCCTTTGTTGCCTTGATTTGCCCCCCCCCCCCCCCCCCCAATTCCTAGCAAGTAATTTTTCTCTCTCGAAAAAAAAGTCTTTTGTAGCTATGTTACAAGAATCTTTCTTTGATGTAACATAATTTATATGTATAGTAAAGCTAACTGCTTTTTTTCTTTTTACCCTTTTGTAATCGGTAGAATTTTGCTTATGATGCTGAATGTGAAAGATGAATGCTACTCAAAATTTTAATCGCAACAAAAACCAACGGCTTAAGAGCAAGATATTCTTTGACTTCCTATAGTTAAACGAAGTTAAAACAGATCCCGTATTAACTGTTACTCAGACCTGTAGCTATTAACTTCATATTGATGAAGCAGGTTGACACGTTAAGTGAAAACGGACGCCGATATGACGCCTTCATTAAGAATATCATGCAAAGACCTTTTCAATATTCTCAAGGTTATGGCATATCTTGTAAACGAAGTAATTAGGGAAAACTCCAGTCATGAAACAAGTTAATATGAAAATGATCAAGATTGATCCACGCCATCCTTTATGACTTTATATTGATTTTAGTAAAGAAAGACTGTTATACAGATTTTTGAGAGTTCAAAGCAATTCAAAAACCATAACGAGTAGCAGGTTTTGAAAATACATATAATATCATTAAAGAAAAAAGTCTTATTTAATTATTTGAACTTTTTAATCCTCATAATTCTCGTAAACTCAGTATGGCATCTCTGTATTTTATCATATTGTATGTCTGACAACTTGGCTCACGAAGTGATATCATCGTATTTTTAACCAAATTAAGAAACCATGGTAGGCATATAAAGATTGCAAATTATGAGCAAACTTATTGTCAGAAGTTTATTTATTTTTTTCGGTTACAAAAATACGGTTTGGATACCAATCATCTGTAAGTTTTCAAACGCATTTGACATCAAAAACTCCACGAGTAATGGTCTTGGCATAGGCAAGACTGATAGTCATGGTCTTGACATAGGAAAGATTAATGCTTAGTGATGGTCTTGAAATCCATCTTGTCATAAACAATTTTGTATCGGAGTTCACAGAAGTACAGTGATTACATGTATCACAGTATTATGGTCTTGCACAATTTTTGAGAACAATGTTTAAAAAAAAAAGAATAAAAAAAATAAAATTTGCGGAAAAAAAATCCAAAAACAAAATCCAAAAAAAATCCACCAAACCTTTGTAGTTTTAATTTAAAGATTTTCTGCTGTCTTGGGTTTTAACAATCATGTATTATGACCCCCCCCCCCCCGTCAACAAATCTATATGGAGGTATGTGTATTCCGTCTGGAGGGATTTTTTTTGTTTATTCATCAATTCCATTATCCAGGTACATACCAGTTTTGATGCAACAGGCCAAAATATACTGGGACATGGAAAATTACCCTCACTTGGAGAAAATATTCCGGAAGTCTGTGGAATTCTGTAATGAGCACGATGTCTGGAAGTTGAATGTGGCGCATGTGTTGTTCATGCAGGAGAATAAATACAAAGAAGCGGCGGGATTTTATGAACCCATCGTCAAAAAGAATTATGATAATGTAAGTTACGTCAAAATGCACCATGTTATAAACAAATTCCAAAAAATGCCTTCTAAACTATGAAAACGCCGGGTTTGGTGAAATAAGACGAAAATCTAGTTTTCCATTTTGAAGTCAGATTAATGGAATAGGGATATGGTTAATCATGCTATTTTAAATTTGGCACCTAAATGAAGCAATATATTGAGTCAATATTTTAAATTTAAAACGGGGTTCTTTGATATTATACCGATTTTTTTATGCTTATTGAACAATAAATTATTTTTTAATTGTCATCACTAGTTTTGATGATATTTTGACATATAATGTGCCTTGTTTACTTTCAGATATTGAGCGTTAGTGCTATCGTCCTAGCCAATCTCTGTGTGTCCTACATCATGACCAGCCAGAATGAGGAGGTCTGTAAACATGTAGACCAAATTTCTATTTAATATGTAGTCATACATATAATTATAGTGCATAAACTCGCTGCCAATCTCAGTTAAAAAAAATGAACATATACATGTAGATTTGTTGTAGATATATTCATGTACATCCCTGTTTTACAAAAGGAACGTGTAAGCATTGAACTTCTGGCTTGATTTTTACTAGGTCCTCTTTCTGCTCCTTTTTTTTTTTAAAAGGAGAGTGATTTATATTTAGAAATAACGTTATTCTATTAAGACTTGCATTTGCTTTGGTTTAAATATGAGTCAGGACAAGAACTTTTTTGTACCATCAACATCTTTCACATTATCGTGACGACAAAAAAGAAATTCTCTTTATTTCTGTGTAATCAGTTCCGCTTTATTCTGGTCTGAAAATCATCAGTACAAGTGTGGATATGTCTATCACCGCCGAAGGTACTGAAAAATAAATGTCAAATAGGCGGACTGCAATAAACGATCACCCTAAAACTCACATGCATGCAGAGAGTATGAAATGTTCCTTTTTAATTTGAATACAAGATGGCATTTGCTGTTTATTTGAACGGAGTGTGGGTTTTCTTTTCCGCATGAAGCAATTTATTTTCCAATGTTAGATTTCATGGTTATTTTTAAGAATGTGTTACAGCAATGTTTAATGTTTAGGCTGAAGAACTGATGAGGAAGATTGAGAAAGAGGAGGAGCAATTGTCGTATGACGATTCTGAAAAGAAAATCTACCATCTCTGTATTGTCAACTTAGTGATAGGGTACGTATGTGCTCCATAGACATCTCAGAGTATTCAAACATTTAAATACCTGTGAGAATTTGATATATGGTCGCTAGTTTCAATGAGAGGCACTAGCTTGCTAATTCACCAAGACATCGAAGTAAATTTAATATTAGTACAAATACAAGTAGTCGATCTGAATTAACAAGGTTTAAATCGGCTTCATTTCATTCTACAGGACTTTGTATTGCGCAAAGGGTAATTATGAGTTTGGAATTTCCCGCGTGATCAAGTCTTTGGAGCCGTACAATAAGAAGCTAGGAACGGACACGTGGTATTACGCCAAACGCTGTTTCCTATCTCTGATAGAGAATATGGCTAAACACATGATCATGATGAAAGACCAGGTCGTACAGGAGTGCATCCAGTTTCTGGAGTGTTGTGAAAGTAAGTTAGAATTCATAAGAACGGAGTTAATTTCACCTTAGTAAAAAAATTACCATTAACATGAAACGGCCTGCTTTCTCTGAAACAAGAGATTGGAAGACCTTGTATCATGTTTGACATTTTTTTTTTACTTCCGCAATTACATGTATATGCAATTCCCATTAGACCTTTTGTTTTATTCGTCAGTAAGGTAACAAAGATTAGATTTCCCTAAAAAAGAGATAACACATCGCATCATGCCATGAATCTTTATACAAATATAAAATATACTTAACATGTCCACTCCTCTTTTCTGTTGTTCCGCCTTTTTTTGGACTCTTTTTTTCCGTCTTTGATCTACAATTTGTAGACTTATTTATATAAAGCCCTGGACTATTGTATTTTATTTTTATTATTTAGTGTATGGAAAGGACGTAAAAGCGTTAATCGAACAGCCATTGGAAGCCGAGCCAATGCATCCTGGGAAGAATACCGTGACGTACGAAGCCCGACTACTGAAAAGTTTATTGCTTCAGCTGATCTGAATCAATCTTGTGTTTTATTTGTTGGAGTTTAAATCTCTGGAGAACAATAATATATTTATTTATATTCCTCTGACGTATAAACGATTCAATAAATGTTTTGTTATTTAACCAATTACAGTGTTTGTCCTAAAGCATTTTAGTTTATCACATGAAAAAAAATCAGCTGGTAAAATAAAGTTATCGTTGAAAACTTTTATTTGGAATGTTGACTTTTGATAACCCTGACTGTTTTAAGGAAACATTTTTTACAAGTGTTGCTAGATATATTCAAGATAAATGCACAAACTTCTCTGAACTAATTACACAATGCACAAGTTGCTTACTATAAACATGTAAAAAAGACAGTGACACACTATGTAGAAGTACAGTAGATGGCTGCCTATACCAGTTCATCTTATCACAGTCACAGAATGGTACATTTTCTGCTCTCCGCCCACGGATTCTTCTTTTTATCGGGCGTGACAACCAAGCCATCCTCTGGCATTTTCTCATCAATAAACTCCGTCAGTCTACAAACAACAAGAAATTAAGATGAAAACTCCGAAACAACGAAAAATAGGCGAACTTAATACATGCAAATGTTACATGAATTTGATTGCTATAATTATTTGTTGCTCTTGCAATGGATGCATGGTTAATGGAATGCATCTGTGAACGATTTTAGACCAAAAAAAAAAAAAAAAGAAAAAAAAGAAAAAAAACCACAACTGTAATAAAGAAAGTTGTAGATTTTTAAAACAATTGAGGTGCTTGGTTGTCTTCAAAAATATTCATTGACTGCTGTATCATTTTCAAGTGTGCCTTCTTATTTATCATCTCTTTCATACATGTAGTAAATTAATAAGACTTTTTCTGAAGGTATATGGAGGTTATGATCTTTCTGACCCAGTATTTTTTTTTTTTTTTTGTTAGATTGATTGCTTTCCGTATGTGGAAGTAATTACTGTGAATCAGTGAATCCCATGCCATACGGCCAAGGTGTTTCAATAAAAACAATTGTCCATGGAATAATAATGATAATGTGCAGCTTAATAACAGGGAAAGCAACTTGGCGCAGGCACTTGATGTTATATAAATACTTCTACCCACACCAAATTAATTTTGATTCTTGTCTGGTTTCTGACTAAATGAAATACTTCAAGTATATTTGCTTACATGTCTTTTATATTTATATGTTTTGGATTTTAAAGATCACATTTTTCTTTCATTTTCATAATTGTACAATTTGAAATAGTAATGGTAAACTGACTTTGAAATCTAGCAGGGACTATATTTTTGGCGGAAGGGCGGAGTATGAAAATATCTCCCTTTCTCTTCTCAAAATTACTATAGAACAAGGAATTCAAAAGGCATGCATTTTTAAACAATTAATGGCTTAAGGAAATTTTTATAATAACTGAAATTAATAATAATGTACTAAAGTTTTAAAATATATCAAATAAATAGGATTTTCTAGACAAATAGCAATCTTATAGCGTTTGAAAGCTGAGGATTCTAAGAACAGATTCGAGTAAAAATTCAGTAAAGAATTTTTTTTTCTCTCATTAAACGGCCAAAACTTTTGGTTTTCGTATCATTTTGTACCTTTACATGACTACTTTACCATATGTAAAAATAATAAAATTTTAAATATACAAAGCATGTTAAAATAACTAATATTCCCTTAAAAAATGAAGAAAAATAGAGGAAATTCGGGTTACCCAATATCTATAATTTAGTTTAACTGGTTATCTCATTTTGATATTATCATCTGGTAGACCACTTGATGCTTAATGACAAGGAAAAGATTGTGATCTTGATACAACCTTGATCTTTTAATGAAACGGTTAAATATACTGTAATTGATGTCATCACTTGGTGATATTGTCTTCTTGAATCTGTGAAAATTTCATTAATTTTTAAATATGATAAACAGGAGAAGAATCCCTCCTTAGGTTGACGAAATTGTATTGGGTGAAATATGTTTTCTAATACATCAATACTCGGTACTTAAATGGCGTTTATCCAACAGATTGATACTTAATGGCAATTTTGTATTATATCTAGGAGATGATCATGATGATTGAAAAAAATATTACATTCACTCCTGCATCTGAAAAGCGGAGTTTGTACTGTACTTTTAAGAAAAGGTCTTCTGTTCAAAACAAAAGCACCAGATTAATACAATGTGTACGTATATTTATTATTTAATTAAACATATATATATATATATATATATATATATATATATATATATATATATATATATATATATATATATAATGAATTGGCAAATTGTTGATGTTTAATCAATAGAAAATGAATTTAGTTAAATAAAATGACACAATGCTGTCATCATTGTTTGAATGATTTTTAGATGAAAATTGGATTTTTATTGTATAACGTGTCGAAAAAAAATCGCCTCCTATGTACACAGCTTAAATGAAGTGAAGATATTTGGGTCAGTGTCAATTTCCAGTTTGTTGAACGTAATTGTATCTTTCCCAGCATCTTCCCCAGAACTCGTATAAAAAAAAACATGCGATCAAATGACCTACTAATTGAATGAACTCTATGGTCTGTGGTTATCATAACAATCTAATTACATGCTCCTCAGAAATTAATCGCGATTTTAGGTTAATTGGCATTCTAGTTTGATTTCAATACCAGAAAGAGGCCACTGTTCCACTGTTCTGGAAAAAGATACAATTCAACATAATTTTGAATGACAAACTAACATGAAAACGGGGCATACACCTTGTACATTTATTGCAAGTATAAAATTGTGAAATACATATAACATTATGTATTCTAAAAATTAAACGACTAGGAAATCACTTATACTTAATTTAAATAAAAGCTCACACCAACCATACTGGGAATACTTAATGATATTTCAAAAAACTAAGTTAAACAAAATTCAAGAAGAGGTGTGCCCTAGTGCCAATTAAACTCCATATGGATTCAACTTCTGGGACTTTAAGACGTAGTTGTGGCATAACAATATTTAGAGCTGTCTATAGCTTGCCCTAGAAGCTACGTTTCTTAGATTTCGAGATGGATTTGGTGCGCGATCCAATGTTGGGATGTTTGTTTCTTTGCTTTGTTTTTGTTTGTTTGTTTTGTTTTGTTTTTACAACAGAGTAACAATTAAGGACAAAGAAAGATAACTAAGTAAGCTATACTTTGTAGAAGGATTTGAAACATGTAGCTAAATATGTAGGCTTGGTTGACGTACTTGTAGTACATGTATTGAGTACTCTGTATGTGTTGACTGTCTCAGTGATTTCACTGTTTGTGGGTGAACATTTCTATAAAATTCAATATAATTCAATTTATTGACATAACCATGTTGGTATACAGTCAAAATAAGAAATCAAATGCAGACAACAGAAAAAAGAGAAAGAGAGCATTATTTTGCATTTAAAGCTAGCTTAAAAAAGAAAATTAATTTATTTTCTCAATAAGAGCTAGCTTAGAAAAGAACATTAATTCTTCCAAAACTCGCCAAACTTCAATTTGGTTAAAAAAAAAAAATTGTATCTAGATTTAAGTTTTATATTAATTGTCATTTAATAGAATATAACGAACAAGTTCTTTTTCATACGCAATATAGTTTAAAGATTTGATGAATATATTATAAATTATTACAATCTGGTACCTTTTATCTTACTTTCTACATAAATGCCAATTAAATTCACATTTATGTACAAATAAAAGGAAGCGAAACAGTAAAAGTCCACGAATAATTGATGAAATCATTTTACAAACTATCAAATTACTAATCTAAATGTGTTTAAACTAAGACCAACTCTCATTTGATTGCCGTTTTACAATAGTCGTATGGAAGCAATTCTCCATGAAGTGGGCTCTCTCTGCTAGCATTCACAAAGCTTTCAGAAAGTCGCAGTCGTACTATTGAACACGGCAAAACATGGAAGGAAATAATACGAGAGTGTCAAATGTGACGCTTCAGATTACTGGATTGATTTGCCTGTGTCGGTTTTCAGCGACAGAAGCTGGTCATTGCCGCGTAGAAGACAATTACAGAGAGCTTAAGCAATCAGTTCCAATCACTTTGCTTAATGTTCAGATGAGAGAGAGAGAGAGAGAGAGGGGGGGGGGGGGGAGGACAATGACAAGTTTTGAAGTCAAAATTAAATTATTGAAAATATCAGTTAAGTATCTATAAAAGCATTTGTTTTATCAATGTTTAAAGTTTCCCCATAGTCAATCTAGAATGTTAACCCCCCCCCCCCGAAACTTTTGAATATATAATAATGTAAATGATTCTCAAGATCTGATCTGGACCGCTTTAATTGGGAGGGGGAATTTGTCAAGTGACTGATTTTTTTCTATTATTTTGCAAAGTGAAAAAAAGTAAGAAAGGGTCAAGTTTTGTTAGTCAAAGAACTTTTGTTATCGGTTTGTTGTTTGCAATGTGTTATCAATCTTTTCAACATAAACTGTACAGTTTATTCAATGTAGACAGACTTTTCCATTTGTGCGATGGTTTTATGTGTTATTGAATTTCTCTGGGGGAAAAAAACTTGAAGGGACAAATGGAAACCTTATTTGCTCTCCAAACTTCAAATTAGAAAAATACACAAAAGAATTGTTTTAAATGATTTTTATATTATATTATATTATATTATATTATATTATATTATATTATATTATATTATATTATATTATATTATATTATATTATATTATATTATATTATATTATATTATATTATATTATATTATATTATATTATATTATATTATATATCAAGATATGAAAACCTTAAACCTTGAGCTGCGACTTTGATGTCGGAAATTTTTGTTGCAGTTTTGTAATTAACTATTTCAATGACAGAAAAAAGAAACTTTATAAGCTTTTATTTTTTATATTTGTGAAGGAAGAACTAGTTTTAAGCTTTGATTGAAGCAAAATTACATTATTATCGTCCCGTTCAATATTGATTTCTTATATAAAACTATTTATTCCAATGTACAGAAATTTTTCTTCTGAAACAATTTAATACTTTATTTTAGATTAATTGATCAAAAAGATTTAAGATACATACAGATTTATCATAAAATCACATTTTAATAGCAAAATAAAATTCTCAGAAATGCAGCTCATAC